CTGATTTGTTTACATCAATTACGAACTGTATTGAAAAATTGGTCATTGGAGCGGGACTGAAGCGTGCGTGATTTAAACTGGACTTCAATCATATTTCATCATTTTACTGCGTTCATGCATCCAGGTAGCTCTGTCAAAGTCGGCAATGATTATGGGCCTTGTAAGAACCAATGAAGGTCCCTCTTTTCTTCAATTGAAAGGCGATGACAACATTATTTTAAAAGTGCTGAACACACAGCGACATTCAGGAATATTATGCGATGTTAATTTGACAGTGGATGGCCAGAACTTTTCAGCGCATAAGGCAGTTCTCGCGGCCAATAGCCGGTTCTTCTTTGCCATGTTTACCACAGAAATGCTGGAAAAGGATAAAACAAGTGCTAGTGTAAGTACTATTACTGCTACTGCCATGGAAAGCATTTTAGATTTCATGTACACGGGACGGATTCAAATTCACATCGAAAATGTTTTCGAATTGCTAGAAGCATCAAATTATTTATTTGTGGAAAAGGTGAAGAAAGCTTGTTGTCAATTCCTACAGAGTGTACTCGATACAGAAAACTGTTTTATGATTCTTTCGATGGCTGACGCTTTCTCGTGCAATGATCTAAGTCAAACAGTCACCCAATACGTAAATCGAGAATTTAATAAAGTTGCCAAGACAGAATCATTTTTGAAGTTATCCAAAGAAGAGATTATCAAGTTCCTGTCCAAAGATGATATATCGGTTGAAAATGAAGACCAACTCCTTGAAATTATCACCGACTGGATAAGCTACGATTTGGAAGCGAGGAAAGACTTTTGTGGTCAATTATTGAAATTAGTTCGACTACCTTTCGTTTCTTTGTCACAATTGAATGACCCGCTACATGAAAAGGAATTGAATGAATTGATCATTCCAAGACTTGTTACAGAATTCAAAGAAGCTACCTACGAAAAAGAGGCTGGGAAAATGACTGCGAGGAAATCGTACCGAAGTGTGGAAGTGATTCTGGTAGCAGGCGGATGCGATAATTCAGCAATCTTAAGCAATGTCTGTTGTTTTGTTCCCGTCGTTAGCAAGTGGGTGGAATTGTCGGCCATGAAGCTGCCGCGATGGAGGTAAATCTACTAAAGACTTTTGTTTTGCCGGTTACGACTGACTGAGTACTCAACATTTAGCCGGCTTTGTATCATGCGTGTATCATGCGTGTATCACCAGCGTGTATCATGATAAGTTATGTGTTAATTACACTTTATCAAAGGAACTCAAGGTCACGCCTTTTGGACGTAGACAAAAGCTCTCTTACGCAGAATTAAATCTCGGAATACGTCAACCGGGTAGAAAAGCTCCAAACATTTCTAAATAATGCAGAAAGATGGTGTAGGAAGGACAAATTATCACGAATTGCGAATATGACTCTAAGGCAGTTAAGTTTATATTTAAAAAGTATGTAAATAATGTTTATTTTATTGCATGTTTTGCTATTGTCTTCGTTGTGTTTTTGAGATCACATTATTCACTAATTTCTTCCAGGCTTCAGCTGGTAACTTCACAAGATAATATGTTAGCTATTGGGGGGCTAAGAGATGTCTGCGTTAAAGAAAGAGCGATTCCATTCATAGAACGCTTCAGCGGTCAAAGTAACTCGTGGGATGCAACTGATCATCAGCCTGTGGTGCATGATGTTGAGCTGGACTCTTTCGGTGCTGTGTCCACAGGTTCCACCACCTTTCTTCTTGTTGGAGGCCTGGATCCCAAAACCAATAGATGCACGTCTCATGTCAGTATTTTTGAGCTTAAAGATGGATCCTGGCTCGTTGGACAGCGAAAATCTTTGCTCTTTCCCAGGGCAGGCCACTGTTTAGTGTCATCTGGAGACAATGTGTATGCAATTGGTGGATTCCAAGTACCAAACACATTTGCTATTCGTGAAGGAATGCGAACAGTTGAATGTTATGATTCAACTAGAGGTAAATATACGCCCACCTTTAGACACCATTTGAGGACTGAGTTAGTTTGAATACATAATCAAATCTTTCCTTTCATTACGAAAATAGATCGTGCATAGGAAAGGGTTTCCTTGTGAAAGTAATTGTAAACCCTTCATAACCGTTTGGACCACTTTAACAAGTTGGACCATGTTATGCATAAGCTAGATGACCGAAACTTACCGAGGACTCATTGCTAGAATAAAACCTGAGCAAAGGCATTCCTCTACAGGAAAATTTTTTTAAAAAAACCTACCAAATTAATCTCATCAAAGTCGCCGAAAAAGTAGTCTATAAATGGAACATGTGAAAAAGAGACAATTATGTTTTGAATAAAAAGAGTTCATTCGTGCTATCTATCATGGAACGCTCCCTTCGTTTTTTCCAATTTAACAAGTGCAACCACAGGCGGCCCAAGCTCAAGCTGTGAGATGATCATCTTGCGAAATAAGAGTCATGGCGAAATCATAATAGTTGTATAGGAATATTTACTTCCGCTCTTAGGAATAAAAAAGTATTGTCAAATTCTCAATGAAAATACCTCATCTTACTTCCACAGCGCATCATTTGTTATCTGACCGCTCTCTATATTGAAAAGCACCCCTTTTTAGCGTATTATCCATTTCTAGGTTTACTATGTACATGTACGTGTAATATACTTTTATAATTTCGTCACGACTCTTATTTCGCAAGATGATCATCTCACAACTAGAGCTTGGGCCGCTTGCGGTACATCCAACAGCCAGTTGGTATTCTCGGCGATTTCTAGTTATTTTTTTTCTTGCCTTTTAACTGTATTAACTGCTAAGAACAAGTATAATTTGCAGTAAACAAAGATGGCTACCTCATCCCTTAATCGCAACACATATTTTGCTTTACCGATTTTCTTGTCTTACTAAATGCCTTCACTTTTATCCAGATGCTTGGACTTCCGTTCAACCCATGATTGAAGGAAGACAGTTTGCTGCTGCTGTGACGTTGAATGACGAAATTTTCATCTTTGGCGGCTATGACGGACAGAATGTTCTTAATTCTTGTGAGGTGTACAACGTAAAGCTTAACAGATGGCAGCACATTGCTCCGATGCGTAAGTCTCGAATGAAGCACTCTGCTGTGGCACACGGTGACAAGATTTATGTCATTGGAGGTGTGAGTGACATCAGAGGAGGTTCCGTGTTCAGTTCAGTGGAATGCTACATTCCCGAAAAGAACCTTTGGATGAGTGCCCCTGACATGCCGGTTGGAAGATTTGATCACCAATGTTACGTTTCTAACGTCGGTTATAAGTTCCTCGCTTCCGTTCTGGAAAAATCCCAGTGACATCCCTGAGTGACAATTGCCTGACAAGGCGCATGGAGGATTCTGATCGCCAATGTCATTTTTACTGCTACGGCCTAAAAGTTTCTTGCTTCCGTTTTGGAAGATTCTCACGCATACCGAAAAGGAAATTTGATCACCAATGTTGAGCGACAAACGCGGGCGACAAGTTGTTCGTTTCTATCCCGTAAGATGCATGGGGAAGAGGGACTGCCCGTACCCTACCAATTCTTTTATATTCTTGTATTGACGCACGTTAAATCGAAGACTTACGCTTCGGAAACTAACTCCATTGTTACGATTAACAACAGACACTTGTATTATTTTATTCTCGTGGAATACGACAAAATCAAACAGGGCTTCTCAATTTAAAAGCAAAAAAGCTAACGGCACTTTTTTAAAAGATCCCACGAAAACTAAGACAACCGTCTGTAATACTTTTTTACTCAACTGATAAATATACTGCAGCAATATACTTAATCATTGGAAGAGGTGCTTTTTGTTACTCACTGCTGTTTTATAAGTGGGCTTTCCGAGTTGTTCGTTCCAGTTGGAACACTGATAGAGACTTAATTTGATGATACGGCATTGACGTAATTCGAAAACGAACATGTAGGGATTGATTAATGTAATATCGGGAAGATAAAAAATAAAATTAGGAGTAGTATTTGATACCCTTGTAGCGCAACTGAGAATACCAGTCTTTTATTGTAGTAGTAGATAATATCTCATTTTTCCCAGCACGAAAGCGCAAATTTCAATGAAAAGCCACATTTCTCAAACGCTAAGGTAAAAGAAAAGGAGAATTTCCACTATCAATGTCAATCAGTGCAATGCTGGGCGAACCAGTCAAAAACGAATATTTTCGACAGATATCCCATTTTCTCGTAGCATCCATACATTATTCAGTAAACAGGTAGTGAGAATACTCAAACTCATCAGGTACAATTTATTACCTTGATTGAACACCTAATTCTCGTAATCAATTCACAAGGAAATATGTAGTAGCTAGAGGAGAGAATTGACGATCAGATCTTGGGAGTTAAATGGTTAATTCATTATGTCGATGTCCATCATTTAACATTTAACGATCTCAGAGAAACCGCTCATCATTTATTGCAGTGACGGGGGGGGTGAGGTAGAGAATTTTGCTTGGTGACGTGATAAAATTTACCTGATCCCCCTCCTGAAAGAAAATATAAACTCTTACCTCTGGCTGTCAATTTTTCTGATCGTCCCCTCCGTTCCCCCGAAAACCAAGTGATCTCCCCCCCTAAAAGTTTTTTTCGTCAGATAGATCTGTTGCTAAAAGCCAAATCAATTGTTTAATTGTTTCGTCATTTTCCGTTGATTGCCTTTGTTTTTGCCTTTGCTTTTGCCTTTCGTGCGAATGATGAAAATTTCGTAAAGTGGTAAGCATGGCTTCAAAGCTGCCTCTGTGTGTCCGTCCGCGGCTTTTCACCAAAGCCTCTCCATTAGTTTTGCAAGTTTGTTACTTCTGTTGTGAGGGTTGTGAGAAAAAATTCCACATGCTTATAAGTCAACAAACGAGGATACTCTTATTCCTAGAGCGTGCTCAAAGCGTGCAAAATTCCTTGAACGAAGCGAATCTCTTCTGAGAAAGTAACATGATATTCCCTTCCGGACAATTAATACTGCCAAAATATGGCCAAAACAATATCTGCAGACGTTTTTAAACGCCCACCGCCAAGAGCTATCAATTTCATCGTTAGAGTAAGACTGAACAGTTTTAAGCGTTACTTTTCTTCAAGAATCAACGGGTAGGAGGCTGAGATATCTTCAAAAATAATAGAGGACAGGGGTATGAAGACACAGGCAAAGAGGGAGCGGCGACTGCGGTTCGCTGCAATCGTTGCTTTGGCTGGGGTCGTAATAGTATTGATAGCAGGGATGATCTTGATTCAGGAAGAAATCACAAACTCGAGAGGCACTGTCGCAGGTATTGTTGTTGTTTTTTTTTTTTTGTAATTGTTTTTGCTGGTCTTTGCTAACGTATGGCATTAATCTGAGGGAAGCTTGGAAACCATGCAATAACCAAAGGAACCGACAAAAGTACTTTTAAAATTCGTGCCTCTAATAGCCGCTATGTAGGTAACGTGGAATCATTTTAATCTGCTTGTTCCCACGAGCGCAATTCACGGTATTTTAGAGTCATCTTTAATACCGGAAATTCATCTTCCATGAAGATCTTTGTCTGCTTAGCAAATCAGGTTGGAGTGGCTGCCAAGTTAATTTCTTTTGGGTTAAATGGCAGAATGTCCCCTCGTCCTTCCTCGAGTAACGTGAAGTGATCTCAAACACCAATAACTTTTTTTTTGTTTGAAAACAATGATCTTACAACAGGCTTACAGAAAGGAGTTTGTCATTATCTGACCTTTCGTTGGTACGAAGCCAAAACTGAAGTGAAATCAAAAATATCAATCACAGGTGTTGACACCTTTCTGCTCTCAAGCGCGCCAGAGAGTATTTTTTTTTGGACAAAATTAGTGATTGTTGAGATCACAAATCATCTAATTAGCACCTGGGGTGTTAATTTCAAATTGAGGACGATAGCAGGGAAGGGGCTTTGGGTGCTTTTATCAGTTTACAAAGCTTGTCTTTACGTTTTTGTAGCGCCTCAGTTTGTTTGTTTGTTTGTTCGTAAAATCAATTTCAATCCCAATACAATCTGAGACAAATGCGGCCGGTACAAATGTGCAAAGCCGCTCGAAAGTTATAAACATGACCCGTGTTATACATTCTTAAGGCTATCTTAAGACTCGTCTAATGTAACGAGAAAGCGCTGAAAGCGATTATTCGAGGGGGGGGGGTTATTTTAAATTCTGACTCATAATGGGGGGAGGGAAGGGAGGAGCTCTTCGCTAAGGGGAGGCGATACTCTAAGGATGTGCTGTGTGATTTTGACTCAGGTGACGCGAGTGACGATGATAACAAAGCACGGGATACTACCCCCCTGACTGAGGAAGCATCCACGTACGAAGAGGTAACTAAAGGAAGGCACAAGCGGTTGTCCAGAGCTTTGAAACAAGGAGCACAGCGATGTAAGCCTGGCGGTAAGTACACATTCTTAATGAAAATAATATCCTCTCTTTAGTCGTTGAAATAACTATTTCGCTTCGTTCTTTCTTGTTCACTTTCCTTCTCACTAAATGAAGATCTTTATTTGATTTTAGTCATCCAATCATTTATTACATTTTCAAGTTGGCAAGCTCTTTTGCCATGTTTTATGGTTGAATTCTTCAGCCAATATTTCTTATCTATTTATCTTAGTAATGATACATTTATCCTTTTGTAGGCCGATGCGAAGAGAATAGAATTTCTCTCTGCAGGAGATCATCGAATGACTTGGTAGTGTTTCCAAACCTTCTAAATCACCGAACACAAGAGAAGGCTACGAAATTTCTTACAAAGTTTGAAACACTTCTAAACAGCAACTGCTCTCCCTTTCTCAGATATTTTCTGTGTTCTTTAGTGGCACCTCCCTCTAATGGCCTCCGAAGGCCTAATCCACCATGCAAAGAGCTCTGTATTAAGGCAACAAAGCCATGTGGACATCTTTTAAAGAAGTTTCGACTTCAGTTGCCACCTGCCATGCGATGCTCCCGTTTACCACCAAAAGGTGCATCAAAGTGCTACAATGGACCACAAGCTTCCAAATGCTTTCGAATGACGGTAGATCTTTACCAAAGACATCCATGTGCTTCATACGTTCCACCTTCGTTTCTTCAGTTTCCAAACTACTTTGGTCACATGGACGCAGAAACAGCTTCTGATGGCTTCGGAAGGTTTAGACGAATCCTTGACACTGCCCTAAATGACTGTGCGCTCTTATTATCGCGATTCTTGTGCAGTCTATATGGCCCTACTTGTAGGAAAATGGTTCTTCCCGTTCCCCCCTGTAGAGAACTTTGCCAACAAACGCGGACACGATGCCAACGGGTCTTCGATCACCTTCACTTTAAGTGGCCCCTGAATCTTAATTGCCAGCAATTTCCAAGGAAAGGAGAAGTGCCTTGCTATGATGGACCTTCAACCGGAGTGATTGCAAAGCCACAACCAGGTATTAAATGAAAACGATTCGCCATTGCAAACTTCAAGGTCTGATTATTCAAAAAAAGGTCCCCTTCGTTTACCAAACCGTAGTCTCAGTAAACAATCCTCAATCTAGCTGAACGTTTTATCTGAAGATGTATTTTTGTAAGCAGTGTCAAGAGGTCCGAAAGCTAACAGTGGAAGGACCTTTTTTTTTTTTTTTACTAAATCAATCCCCTTATGTACAAAGCCTGGCCCACCGACTGCGTAAAACCGTGGTTTGGGTTAGACTTCCTGTAAATAACCGGCCAAACATGTATATTCGCAATAAAAAAAGTTTGTTTAAAAATCTCACTATTTAGTGGCTATGAAAAAAATATCAACAAAATTTGCACTGGTGTGCATGATGATTAAAATATATAACAAGAGAGGGTAGCTTATAGACATTCAAGCAGCCTCCAAACGTCAAAAACAGGACCCCATTGACATATCAAGGCGTTCATGTAATCAAAAGTCATTCCACCAAAGCTAAGTTCTTATATCAAATGGAAAATAAATCAAAATAACAATTAGTTCGATTGGTCATTGGCATTTAATAACATTTGAAAGAATCGTTTAGAGCAGTATTTTCAAATGCTGAAAAAATTTTTACCAAATTTTTTTTATTTTCGAAAATCTTATCTTCCTATTCGTTTTTCCACATCAGGCAAATGTCAGTCCTTATCCATTCCTTTCTGTAAGAACGTACCCTATAACATGACGACATTTCCGAACTTCTTCATACACACAACGCAGGAAGAAGCATCTCTCGAAGTTCATCAACTTTGGCCACTTGTTGACAGGAAATGTTCACGTGACGTGGAGTTCTTCTTTTGCTCCTTGTACGCTCCGATGTGCACCACTCTAGACACGCCTCCATTACCGTGCAGGGAGCTCTGCCTTCGAGTTAAGCGTGGGTGTGCTGTGGTACTGAAGGTGTTTAGAAGAAGATGGCTTTCCACGCTGGCATGCGAAAAGTTTCCGCTTCGAGAAAGTGGAGAGGTGTGCGTTGACAGACCCCAGGAAACCAGCCAACTCGCAATTTCACAATCACAGAAAAGGGGAGGTGAGATGATACCTTTTGTAAGCTCTTGAATATAAAATGTAACGATCCATAGAAAGAAATAATAGAAACACCCTCCTTCCCTTACTGTTCAGCCGTTCCCGCGCACGTAGTTCTAAATTCTGGTAAATTCGAATCAAGCGAAAGGTTTTGATATTAGCTGAGAGTTCAGACCTTTGATGATTAATGAAGTTATATAGTTAAATGAGATAAGCCGGCTAAATACCGATGACTATGAATCTCCATCGGAGCTGCTCTTTGTACTCATCAAGGAGCAGTTACAAGGGAGACCACCGTTAAGATTCGATTTAGCGCCCTCCTTCCAATAGGCGCCTCCTTTCTAATTCGTTTTCCGGTGTTCTTGATCCCTTTCAAATAAATATCTAAGTTATGTTTCGCATATTCTGCTGATTCTCAAAAAAAAAAAAATAAGCGCCCTGTTTTTAATAACCCCCTCTCCCAACCCTTTAGGTAACCAAAGTAAATAAGCGCCCCGAGTGCCAAATCGAATCAATATGACACATGACTATTGGCCTAGAACTGAATATATGCAACTGATAAGATTCTTATTTTATCCTTTCAGGGAAGTGTGAGGCGTTAGCTGCACCGATTTGTAAAGATGTCAACTACACAATGACAATGGTTCCTAACTTGTTCAATCACAGTACTCAAGAACAGGCCGCCTCTGAAATTCATCCTTCCTTCTATTTTGGTTTGCGTTGTGAGAGCCGAGAGATGACCCTTTTCGTGTGTGCTCTTTATTTTCCTCCATGTGGAATGCCGTACCAGCCTTGCAGAGAGCTTTGTGAGCGAGTGAAACGTCGATGTCTTCCCAACATTGAACTGTATGGTTACCCTTGGCCAGAGGAAATCGACTGTGACGAATTCCCCTCCGCAGGGAGTGGCGGCAACTGCATTGGAGCTCAGCCACTTATGCCACCAACAACCAGTTCAACAGTTCAACTCGAGAACAGTTAAACCAGCCTCGTCGCATTTTATAAATGTTGGGAAATGTAGCCTAAGTTCTCCAAGTCTGCTATTCACAATCTATTTGAATCTCCTTTGTCCTTGTACTTTCTCGAGAAATTGTAACCTCTCTTATGTTTTGAGTTTGCTTTTCTCCGTTGCGAAAGCAATTCAATGATCTGGAATTTCGCTATCTAGAACCTTGTTGGATTGATCCCTCTCGTTTCAACCTATGTTTTGCCAACTTTTGCAGCACAAAATAGATTAACTAAGCTTCCTTTCCTGATTACTCAGGCAACAAATAGTAATAATTGGTGGATCCAGGTCATAAGTTTTTAGAACAATTTTTTTTTCAAGCTCTCTCTTCTATTAAGCAACTTTTTTTTCCTGCGCCAAGGGTGGCTACTTGGTGGTCTTAATAAGGTTAACCGTTGGCCATAAAACGGCCAAGAAATTTAGCCTTAAGGCAAAAAAAATTGACAAATTTTCACCTTTAGTCGTAAAAAAATTCACTGAAATTTTTTTCCTGGTGACAACAATGGAAAGACATCAACCGTTAGCTGTAAATTGACCAAAATCTAATCGTTAGCCGTGAAAGGCATCACCCCATTGAGAACCTCTTACTTCCAAGATTCGATTGTATTTTGCACTGGTTTTTTGCGAGAACTAAAGTTTGTAAACAAGATTTATTTTCCTATTATAAAATTCGTTAAATTCTCTCCTTCATCCAATAAAATTGATGGACAAACCACCCAAGCAAGTACTAGAAGAATTATTGACATACAATCAACGGCAATTCCGATAGGAATGTATACATAAAATTTTTCGGACCCATTTCGGCATAAACACGTTCAGCTTTAACATAAGGACATACATTCTTAGAGGAGAGAGGGTACACCATCCTCTATAACTCAAGGCTACTTTCTTTAACCGGCTCAATTCAATAAATCAAGTTGAAACTAAATATATTCCGTGCCATGAGCGCCCACAAATTCTCTCATAAAAGGCCAAAGGCCACCACGACAAGCTTTCCCTATCACGTGTTGTCTGCAAAAACAAACCTAGATTGAATTCAAATCATAAATCACACGTGTTTACTTTTGAAATGGAAATTGTGAAGAATTCACACCTTAACAATTCTTGAAGTTTGTCCAGCTGGTAAACTTCTTTCCTCGTTCTTTGCTTGAAAATTCTTTCTTGATGATTCAAGAAGCCGTTTCAACTCTTTCGCTCCCGAGATCTCATCAGTAATGCTCTCTACTGTGTGCCATACAATTCTTATTATGTTGGTTCGGAGAATTTGGTATTGGATCAACTAATAATCCCGTAAATGATATTTTTCTTTACTCTCATTACTTGTGTACTTTGTATTGTAAGGATATGGTGAGGAGAAATTCTGTCTTGGTCATTCATGGGACTTAAAGGGTTACAATCAGCCAAAGCGTACAAGTACTTTTGAAAAAAAAATAGATTACGTAAAAGTCATAAAGGGAAAAAGTCGAAAAATGCCGAGCACTACTACTCTTGCTCAAAAATGCAAGAGTGTGGAACCAGGCCCGAATTCAAAAACAACGTGGCATATACATATATTTTTAAGTGGCATGCTGTACGAGAAAAGGCATATCAAACCAAAACACTATACAGCTGCCAATTGCTCTCTCAAAACAAAGGTTCAGATAAATCAAAATTGATAATAAACTTAACACCGCATTATTGAATTGAAAAGTGACTATTTATGGAATTACATTGCACGCGACAAAAGAGAAGTCAGTTAATGAATCTGGCAGATTCTACAATGTTTATTTTTTCTTCAAGCAAATCTGGGTGAAATGGACAGGATATCTCTCGGCATCGGTAAATTTACCTTTATGCAAGCCGAGTGGTCCAACAGGCTATCAGCGAGGTCACATAAGGAACTTATCATTGGCAAAAGTGACGACAAGTTGGTAACTGGATCTGTTTTTCGCTAAATTTTTATCGGCTTATCGCCCTTATGACGCAGAAAAAGCATCGTAAGAGCAGAACAGCCCAAATCTGAGAGAAGAGCACATCCTTCTTTGGACGAAGTGAGTGGTAAGGATACTCACGATGTCTTCTGAAAAGTCGAGTAAAGCAGAGTCTAATATTTACGGTGGGCGACGACTGCTGTTCGCTGTGATTGTTTTGCTAGCCGGATTGGCAGTAATTCTTACTGCTTGTGTGATCGTGATGGACGAAGAAATAAAAACCTTGAGAGAAAATGTTGCAGAGTACCAGAAATGGAAAGGTAAAGTTAGTTGCGTTTTTAGAGATAGTTTTAAGGAGTGGAGAATTTACTTGTTAGCAGTCTCATTTTTATTAACATTTCACTCATAACAATTCGCTACAGAGTCAGGTCAGGTCTTGTAAATACCCGCAAAAAGTCAAGTTGAATTTACTTTTTGGGAGATATATGTTTACCAGGCAAGTTGTGCTGGCGGGATACCCCACTCGCGTTTCGACGTGCATTTCGAGATTTCGTTCACAACGCAACAGAACAAATTGCTTTTGCCGCGTACTGAGAAAGAAAGTGGTTGGTTTATTATGTAACTCGCCGCCTACTAGATGCCTCACCGACAAGAAAGCTTTCGAAATGGCTATTAGCCTTCCAACAAACAAGTATGAATACCACTAAATAAAACCATCAAAAAGAATGTGCGCTTTCAGACTATGTATTTTGCGGTCTTGAACGTATTGCAATCCGATCTCTCTGATGTTCTGCTACTAACTGTCTGTAAAGGAGATCAAGGTTTGTCCGTCTGTTCAGCCGGGTTTGTAGTTTGAATGCTGGCATCACTTGAATAAACATATGCTACTACTGTCATGCAGAAGTAGGTCAAAGAAAACCCTAATCTTGTATCGTGGTTAAGTGTTGTTGAGCCGAGCGTATATTTGGCAAATATATAAAAACTTTCCCGTTTTGGTATCGCGTGTGAATGGCCTCGGTGGAACCCATTCCGTAGCATGCTTGTCTAGATGCGAATCTAATCATGGGTATGACATTATGAACCAATACTGATTGGAATATAACAGAAAAAACAGCAGGAAGTCTAAAGTAATTGTATCAGTTTTACCGCTCGTTCCTTATCTGCTTTGATCGATACAAATTTTTTTTTCCAGTATTCGGTGAGAATTCAGCCAGTTAATCATTAATTAAAAATGCCTTATCGTGTTTATTTTTCGCGCACCATTAGGGTTTGTTTTAAGGTATGCCACTGAGATGCCTTGCGGTCCAAAAAAATCCCAAAGGCACTTTTTCGCCGTTCTTCATAAGTATTTCATAAGTATTTCATTAGCAACAACTGAAAATTTCAACAAAGTATGGTACTGTTTTTGCAGAAATGATAATTCACTTTTCAAAATGGCGAGAGGGGGAAACGCTTTAAAAACTGTACAGGTATTTCCGCCCTAAATGTGGTTTTTGAGTCGATTCGGTCTATTAATGGGATTGGATGATGCCCATTATGGTGTTACATCCGTTATGGTTTTTAAGGAGGCCTCGACGGCGCATATAAACGCACTGACTTTTTGATGGCTATTGCGAATTCTTGACCCCGACATCATTGCAAAAATTATATGTACAATAAAGCCACTGAGTCAGAGATATTTGTCCGCGAAACATCGTCCATTATTATGTATCTGTACAAGGAAGTAAACAACCCTATCCGCTTTCTCCCACTTTTGAAGGGAGAGGCGCCTTGTGTTATAAGACAAAGAAAGCCATTTAATGAGAAACACGCACTTTCTTTTCATAAGAATATTAACTTTCTCATTTTAAATTCCTTAAGCTGTCTGCTGTGCGGATCAGTTCGAGTCAGCGCTAGGAACATCCGTAATAGTTTAAAAACTGAGTAAGACTTGACTGGCCTGCTAAAGCTCATTCTATCCTTTAAAAAATGTCTTCTGCAAGACAGACGGGACCTCAAAATCTTCTCTTGGAAGAGTATATACTAAACGACACTTATTTCCTATGTTGCAGATGAAGATGGTGACAAAAAGACAGTTTCCACTCCTGCGACTGAGCACAGATCCTCCCTCGAGGAATTGTCTAAAAGGAAACGCGTTCGGCTTTCAAGATCTAAGCAAAGTATGAAATTCATGATTTAGAGAAAAAAAAGTATTATTATTATTATTATTATATATTGCGTTGGTTTAAGGGGAAAACCTAAGAGTTAGAATTTTCTGTCGATGAACGTGATGCGTTGGGCGGATTTAATTTGTTAGCACTTTTCTTATATGTAATCTCTCTCTAGTGTTAAGTGTTTTAGTATTTTAAGAATTTCCTCCCCAACTCGCGCCATTGTTGGTCTTAACAAAGGAACGTCTCAGGCGACTTTTAATCTGTCCCTATTCGTGAGACAAAAGCTCGGAGATGTAAAAGGAGGAAAATTGTTCCTCGACCCCGTGCATCTCTCCAGCACTTCCAGGGATCGATTCTGATGAAATATCGATGTCGCGTAAGGTTCAAAGATCACACCTTTAGAAAAGGAAGGCTCGTTTTCATACTGCTTAACAAAGATTTTCAACAAGCATGCTAAATTTTCTCGGGGCCAGTGTGCACGAGTCACCTATTGGTGAAAGGTGTTGTTATGGGGAGCTTGACCAGGTGACACGAAGGCTTCTAATACCTGTACTTTAATTGCGCCACAGGTCGTTGTGAATCTTTAAGGATTCCAATGTGTCGGAATATGCCTTACAGCTCAGCACAGTTTCCAAACTTCCTTAATCACCAAACCCAAGATGATGCAATTGCGCTGGCAAACGTGCTTGGTCCTCTGGTTAAAAGCGGGTGCTCCTCATCCATAGAACATTTTCTGTGTTCAGTTCTGGCACCTCCCTGTGGTGGGGCCCAGCAGCCCATACCTCCCTGTAAAGGGCTTTGTAAGCGGGCGACTAAAAGTTGTAGGGACCTTCTTAATAAGTTTCAGATAACTTTAGATCCCTCCATGAGATGCAAAAACTTGCCCAAAGAGGGCACATCAAAGTGCTTCAACGGATCATGGCCGAAGAGCACAAACACACCAACACCAGGTATGACACATGTCAATTAACCTTACCATTGCTGTCATTGACAGCAATGGTAAGGTTTCCTTTAAGTTTTAATGATTATAGCGTGATCTTAAGACGATTCTAACCCCTTCGCGATATCCAGGATTGATCAACATGTAATTTCTCCCTTTAACTGGGATTCCTTAAGCATCGAATATGCATGCGATAAGAAAAAATAGATTATACATTGAGATACACTTTAATTTGAGTGGAGCGTGACGACTTCATATGCGTCTATCAAAGCAAACAGGCATTGAATTAGTAGTTTACCATCAACAGTCTTTGGTTTTAGTTTGGTAACTTCGGGTGGCGGTCTTATTACAGACATAGCATTACCTTTGCCAATCTTCAACTTTCTTTCGATAGCATCGGCTCACTCAGCAACGAAATGCCGACCAGTAACCCATCAGTGCAACCGTTTCTTGCCTCCAAACTGGCAAGCACAGTTCCCAAACTACTTCGGTCACAAGGATGCTAGAGAAGCTTCCGTTAGCTTCCAGAAGTTTGAGGGAATTCTTCGAAATGCTGATAAAGATTGTTCCGCGACTCTGTCCACCTTCCTTTGCGGACTCCACGTACCACCTTGCAGAAAGACCAAACGCCCTTTACTGCCCTGCAGAGAGTTTTGCCTGAAGGCAAGATCACAATGTAAGCGAGAAATGCGCTTGTCAAAAAGAGGTGGCCTTCAATGGCCCTCAATCCTGAAGTGTAGGAATTTCCCTGGCAAAGATGAAGAACCGTGCTACAATGGACAGATAATACCAGAACCGACTACGAAGCCGCAGCCCACAGTTCCAGGTAATGAGTATACTTTCAACCCAGACTTAATCTTCAACTCCCAAGATCTGATTTTCAATTCTCCTTTCTAGCTGCGACACATTTTCTTGTAAATAATTTACGAGAATTTGGTGGTAGATCAAGATAACAACTTCTACCTGATAAGTTTGAATATTCTCATGACCTGTTTGCTGGATAATGTTTAGATATTACAGGAAGAACTTACATGTTCATCACTTGAGGGAGTTACAGGGTTAACCGGCAGTCGATGGTTTAAAGTGATCCCTTCACTTTGACAGTTTTATCAAACAACACAATGAACAGTAGTTTTAGCCCAACGACAGTTATACACCCAAAAATCGCTCAAAATTTTCGCTGCAAAACATTTTTCGAACAAAAATTAGCGTATGGTAATGGTTTTTTTATTATTATCTGAATTTCCATTTGTTAGTAACTTGTTGGGGTGAAACACCCGGCCTGAGAAAATTCTCTGTGTGAAACAAGGTCCATTCCATAATGGAAAAATGTTTATGTTAATTTCTCCCATGTTTTTCTCCCAGATCTGGGCCTGAAACTACACAGAAGCATTCTCAATAAATCTAATACTATAAGACTTGCTGGAACTTCATGCATACCTGGTGTCCCTTTGTGACGTTTTTGTATTTGTACTTTGCTTGCGTTAGTTTTGACATTCGAGTCAACCCCAGCTTATAAGTGAACGTTACTACTCACTAATATGACATCAGCAATCTGATAAATGAGCAAATCGTTTGCAAAATGAACAGACATCGATCATGTTTGCTGGGTTGTTAAAAGCATTGTACTTCGATGGCTAAAAAAATATGAACATGTGGTGGATGAAATAAATTAACGTAAGTGTTATGGATACGCGTATGAGACGCAGTGACCCGATGCTTAATACGCTGGGGAGTCCGTGTTCGCCGCCCCGGCCGGGTCGTTGTTTTGTGTTTTTAGGCAGGGCGGGAGTAGTAATGCCCTTAATCGAATTATGCCAAGGAAAACGGAATAAGCTCCGGCTGTATGGGCCACTTGGCTCGCCGGTACAGAATTGCACTATGGGTACGTAAACTTAATGGTGTTTCATTTCAGGAAAGTGCGAGGTCCTCACGGTTCCTTTGTGCAAAAGTATACCTTACAACATGACAGAGTTTCCAAACTTTTTCCGCCACAAGACTCAAGCTGAAGCATCTCTCGAAGTTCAACAATTTTCTCCTCTGGTACAAATCAATTGCTCACCGGACTTGGCGTTCTTCCTATGTACATTGTACACTCCCATTTGCACTTCTCTGGACAAACCACCACTCCCGTGCAGAGAGCTCTGTGTACGTGTCAGAGAAGGATGCCTTCCTCTTTTACTGAAATTTAATTTCAAATGGCCGGAAGCCATGAATTGCGAACAGTTTTCTCGAAGGGGAGACAGTATCTGTATTGATCGACCTGACGTAGCGACTGTTGCGACTCCGTCTCCGTCTCCGTCTCCGAGTCCGGTAATTCAGCCTCAAGGTGAGAAATACTGGGACTTGTTTAAATTATACTTCAGACAAAATGGCTGTTTGGCAAATGTTTTTGTCTGGTTGGTTGTTTATTTGCGTAAGTGAATAAAGGGGGGGGGGGAGTATATTTGAAATGGCAGAAAAGGGATGTATAGTAGAGGTATTTTATTCAGTCTGTTGGTCGGCGTCTGTTGCCAGAGAATAGGTAGAAATATTCCGCAAAATCAAAGAGGACAGAAAACTGTGCTACCGTTCAGATTTTGGCCCCTGACTGTGCACTGCATATTTTACCTTTTAGTTCCTTCTGTATAACTGGACGACTTAAAGGGGTCCTTACATCGGTCATCTAGGTCGACAATTAATGGATTGCCATCGGAATTATTATTTCGTCAGGCCAAAACTCCTAAGGAGAGTCCGGCGGTAACAAAGAGATCTGTCGCGCTTCATAACCATTAGTAACCGAACAATCAAGTAGGATCTTTACTGTACATTGGCCAGTTAGGTCGCAATTACCTTGAAAAGGTTAATTGATTAGGCCCAAAAATCCCATCAAGAGCCTGTAACAAAGAGATCTACCGTGCTGCATAACCATACCATTTGTACTATTATTATTATTATTATTTTTTTTTTTTTACAGCGGGAAAATGCGAACCTTTAAGGGTGCCCGCATGCAGCGCCTTTCATTACAGCAAGACGAAGATTCCTAACTTCCTTCATCATCAAACCCAAGACCAAGCTTCTCTTGAATTAAGCAAGTTTGATGCAGTCATCCAGACCAATTGCTCCCAAGAATTAGCCTTCTTCCTCTGTTCTTTGTTCGCCCCGCCCTGTAACCCACACCCATACACTGCGCCTTGTAAGGAACTCTGCAGTCGCGTCAGAAAACAGTGCATTTCTAAAATTAGACAGTTGGGGATGAAATGGCCGGTTTCTTGTTCAAAGTTTTCACGCAAATCAGAAGTCCCTGTTTGTTTGGATGCACCGCCCTCCCCTAAGGCTCCCATTCTCACCACCACGAATACCTTAGGAAACGGTGAGTAACAAAGAAAGGTTGTAAGAAATATTACTTTTATACGAAAGGTAAAAGAGTATAGAAGGAAGTTTTACTTTATAGGTTTCATTTTCTTCGATTATGAAAGTCACGTTGGTGATCTAAAGGTCCAGGTACGAGCCCTGGGGCCTGGGCCCTAGGACAGACATATTTATTTCCAGACCCCTTCTCCATCTCGGAGTTTTATTGGGTATCGATGAACTGGCTCAAAACACCTGCCAAAGTGCATAGGTTACCCTGCTGCGATAAACTAGCATTCCATTGAGGAGTAGACAAACTCATAGTTGTGTCATGTAAGGAAGGCGGAGATAAACAATGAAAATTTCGGGGTTGCTTGTTTCTTCCGTAGGGGTTGCTCAAAATTTTTTAACATCGTTGAAGTGTGACATGCAACTGAACAACAGCACAGAAATTTTGAGCAATAGATTATTTGAAATAACCAAATTGAGCTGGAATTACTTGGTCCTCTTAACTTCTTATCCTAAAGAATCTCTTATTTGAATTTTAATCTTGGACCATGTGCAGGCGGTCTAAATTCTGTATTACTAAATTAAGTAAGACTGTGCTTAATATTTCTACAACAATTTTCTCGCAGGAAAATGCGAAACCACGACCATTCCTATTTGTAAAGGTCTGCAGCATTTTAATATGACGCTGTTCCCCAACTTCCTCAACCATGACACACGGGATGAAGCAGCTTTAGAAGTTCAGCAGTTTTCTCCTCTTGTTCAATTCGGCTGTTCCCCAGATCTGTCCTTTTTCTTGTGTTCTTTGTATGCTCCCTCCTGCAGTGCACCGTTCAAACCATGCAGAGACCTCTGCATCAGTGTTAAAAAGGGCTGCCTCCCCATACTTGAGGAATTCGGTATTCCTTGGCCGGAGAAATTTGCTTGTGATAAATTCCCCGCTGCAGGTCCAGGAACACAGTGTACTGCTCCTCAGCGATCTGTTATATCCAATGCTAACCAAACTACATCTGGTAAGCAATAAATCTTATAAGTTAACTTATTCAAGTGTAGAAAAATGTGTTTTCATCTTTCACGCGCCTGGGTTAAAATAAAACTTTTAGGTCCCCACGAGGAATCGGGTTTTAGACCTTCGGATTCCGCGCTCCAACGCTTTACCGCTAAGCCAAAGAGATACTTCAGTGAGTTAGGCCACAGAGATTCAACAGTGAGTTGGGCGATTACTAAGTTGATATGTGACATGCGTCGGCCCACATCTTGATACGATTAGCAAAGTAGAAAGCCTCGATTGAAATCATACAATGAGAGAGCTGGTGATAGTGTACTCAAAGGACTTATTTTCAGAACATCGTTGTCATCGTGATAGAAGATGTCACTCATTGAATTACACAGGCATACTCAGAGAAAAGAACTCCACGTACTCCAAATAAAAATTCGAATCTACGACCTTCCTTTTAGTACCTCGGATGCTCGACCACTGAGGTATAGGAGACAATTGGCACGCCAGGCCGTTTCACCAAAGCGCAAGAAAAGCAAGTGTTTTTTTTAAATCAGTCGAACGAAATATAGTGTTATGAGACACATCCACTTGGAAAGAGTTTCTTCATTTGATGGGACCCTAAAATTAATCCGTAAAATAAAACGTACGTCTTCCCATCCTTCAATCAGAGTACAGGTGTCAACCCTCAATTTCTCAGAGGCAAACATGTAGCGTTTCCTTGCGATTTCAAATGTAACCTCGCAAACGGGTTACGAGAGTAGACAAGCCTATCAGCTAGAGGGTGTTATCTCGATATCAGACGAAATTCTCAGGTTTAGTTTAAGAGGAAATGAGTGGGATTTAGAAAGGAGAATTACCTATTAATCTTAGGACTAAAGGGTTTGGCATATTCTTGGATCACTTGAAACCATGATACAGCAGGAAGGGAATGGAATGCGTGGAATTAGTACCCAGTCTCTACCTTGATGCTGAAATTTGACCAACGTAACAAAAGTTTCGTACTTACAACGTTTCTTGAGCACTTCATTGTTATAAAATGGAATGACATAGCACTGAACGGGGGTCACACTTGTAAATTGCACTCTTCAGAAACACAGTTGTTTTTATAAAATCAATTTTGATTTCGATGGAAATTCTGAACATAAATTTTTGACGAATTCGTGTATTCACCTAAGAAGCAGAATTAAACTGGACATTACAGTAATGACTCACTGAAATCCTTTGCAGGGAGATGCGAAGCCTTAACCCTTCCTTTGTGTCAAGATCTGCACTACAATATGACGCTGTTTCCCAACTTCTTCAATCATCGCAAACAGGAAGAAGCAGCTTTAGAAGTTCACCATTTTTTTCCTCTTGTAAAAATCGGCTGTTCCCCAGATCTGTCCCTTTTCCTGTGTTCATTATATGCTCCATCTTGCATTGCTCCGTTTAAACCATGCAGAGATCTTTGTATCAGCGTTAGACGTGGATGTCTTCCCCTAATGCAGCGATTCGGTTTTACCTGGCCGAAAAATATGGCTTGTGATAACTTCCCCATCGCAGGCCAAGGAACTGAATGCATCGTTTCACCGTCGTCCGTTTTATCCACTGCACCTTCAGCTACAAGATCCAGCAAATGATAGTTTAATGTTTTTTTCCTGACATTACTTATACTTAAGTTTAAGCAGGAGTACAATTTAATCCTTTGGACATCAGCGCGATTTAGGCGGAATGGGGACAACTCCACCTCCTAGAGTTGGAATCATTAACCCTTTTCGGCCAAATCCTTAAATCTAGGACAAGAAAACTCGGCGAGAAAAAAATTATTAAGTCGACTGAATCTGTACAGGTTAATAGTTTCGTGATAAGCGATTCTCTCGATTGAGCACCTTCCGTCAGCCGAAATTTTAAATAAGTACCCGGGCGCTTACTCGAAGAAATGCGGCATATGTCGTGATTATCAGAAATTCGCTGAGTTTTTTTAAAAATATATTTTTCTTTCTCGTTCCCTCGTATTCTTGCACAGAATAATCTCTTTTTTTTTTTAGTGGAATTTTTTTTGCAAATTATGATAAAGATTCGCATATTGATCGCAACATCTCGAATCATCAAATCGTCCAAAAACGGTGTTGATTCTGTTGTAACCCAATTTCAGTTTCTTTACAGTAAATTGGAGGGAAGTGGCAAGTCTCGTAAGTTTTTCAGTTTCGTACATTCTTACTTGAAACAAAGGATGACATTTTTACTTTCTTTGTTTTTTCTCTTTACTTGTATAGTTATGATGAAATTGTTTCCAAGTTTTTGTGTTGAGATTTTCCGGCGCTGAGTTTCACACTGCAAGATCAAGAAATGTTGTTTTATTGTACTAAATGTATTTCATCGTTTTTTATATGTTTGAATATTTGAAGGTCTTTAGGCGACACTAGACAATCTATGAATGTAATTCTATGAAATAAAGAGTTCTTCCATCTTAAATCAGTGTACCGATTTTCGCCTTTTTAAGGCATAGTCTGCATACATTATTAGGAAAAACAACTGACTTGTTGTGCAAGTTTTGATAGATGTGTCTGGAGAAGAGCTTGTAAACACGGTTGCAAATTCTATTTTCAAACCCGCCAGAAAAACTGGTTTTTTTTTCAGCACAGGTAGCTCATCCCCAATCTACGAGGACGCTGAACTGTATTAAATTGTTATAAGGAAAACGGTTGTGTTCTTAAAGACCAAAAAACCTGTTTCACAAAAGCAACATCGAGCGGATGGACTCGTACCCTAGTTCCTCGAATAAGCGCCCTCTCTCCCCAAAAAGCGCACACCCGCTAGGCCATAATGTTAAACAAGCGCCCCTTCGAATCCTCCCTCAGTTTCCTTAATTTTAGGGAACAAGGAAAAACTGTTTTTATTGCCTTGTTATTTACAACTTTTTAAGCCTTAACGACGGCGGAATCGCTTCCTTTTCGTTCCAGTTATCTCTATCTCCATGTACTTGCCGAGTTCTTTTATAAGCGTTACTTGTTTGTCCTATAGCTACGCTAACTCATTAAGGACTCCTTTAAGCACCCTCCTACCAATAGGCGACCCTCTTGTTAACCGAAATTTTGAAAGAGCGGACCAGGCTTCTATGAAGTATGGTATAACAAGCGTGGGTAACCTATGCTCCCGAGCCGCAACAAATGTAGTCGCGGCGTCGACCCAAATGTTTCCGCTGATAAATTATTATTATTTGTGATTATTTTTGTACATCACTATTATCGCTCAAGCGAATGTCTAAGCTGAGAAAGTGGGACTGCTCGTTCCTCGATAAAAGATCGACCCTTTCATGAATTCTCTCAACAGCAGGAGACGGCGGGAGTCAACTGCATGGCGGCATCTAAACGCTTTCACTTCCATATTCACAATGCTAGAATCCGTGCACTGTCTGCAATGCATTTCGTATCATCTCAGCTCTGAAAATTTGGTTTTGAATCAGACAATGCCCCTTAGTTTAATTTTTCTGTTTTCTCATCACACTGTTGCTGAAAATTTTTATTATTGATACTGTTTGGAGAAATTGCTTCTTGATCACTTTTGAGAAAAGAGGAGTTGGTCACGTTTAAAGAGTAACACGTGAGTGACTTGATGCAAACAAGCAGGCACAATTGTGTGCAAGATATTGCTAAAAGTGTTTAAGCTGGCGTTCTTGTGTGTTCCTATTGCCTTGGATATGACCGCATTAAATCTGAGTAGTCGTAAATTTGCAAGTTTCAGGCTATGTTCTTTTGCTTTAAACGACTAAATAATACTGGCAAAACTCAAATAGCTCCATCTTAAATTAGTTACATAATTATTGTCACTAGGGATTGCTCACGCTTCTGCATAACAGCAAGACACAACACACACCGGGCTTGATACTCAAGTCAAGTGTTGAAATTCGTCTTTCAACCTCTCGAAAGCTGCTAGTTTGCATGGGGCAGGGGAGCCGCATACACTTGCTGTATTTCCAATTTTTTTAAAGCGTACTGTAGCGTGGCATCTCCCATTCCACGCCTTCGGCAAATAAAACAGTGTGTAATCCGTTCGTAATGGGTAAACGGCGCGATAGTACAGCAGAGCGAAAAAGAAGGGGGTCTAGGTCGAGTCACTCCTCCGCGGCTATCGTGTTGTTTTCTGTCGCGTTTCGTTTTATTGATAAAATGTGTGGAAAAGGCTAACTTTAGCATCACCACTCGATCGTGATGTTTGCGGATAGGACTTAAAAAACGCGCGTAACACGATCGCATGTTTTGGCGCTGCAACTAAAGAGTTAGTTTTGTTGAGAAAAAAGCAAATTACGACCAATTTGATCCCTGCACTCAATTGTTCAGAGGAGGCTTGTAAAACGTATTTTGTCTCAGTTTTCTTGCAGTAATTCAAGGGTAATTGAATAGGTTTTGCGTTAGTGCGCCGCACAAGTCGTCAAATTAAGACCCGTTTGGGGAGAGAATACGGGCAGATTAAGTGTCTGTAGATGATCTGAGTAGCTAACGAAAATGCTGTGCAAGATTTTACTCCAGATGGGAAAACACTTTCTGTGTATGGACCATGATCGAGATCAAACCGACGAGAACACAACTTCCTGTTGCATAACATACAACATTGCCTTGTAGACAAGGGAGGGGTACTCGCGTATATTATGGGTGGGTATGTACCGATCCTCTCAGCATTTGGATCCCTTTTCTGTAATATTCTTATAAATTCCTCCCCCCACTCCACCCCCCTCATTCGCAGTTAACTGGCATTTGATTGGCGGTCGATGTTCTATAGTTCCCTCTATACTCTGTTGGCAACGACCCATCCCGCTTCTGTTCCCCCTGAAAACCATGTGATTCCGCTAAAATCTCCCCACCCCACCCCATCCCAGCGATTGGTCCCTAAACTGGATACACAACTCTAAATAGAAGAGATCAAAAGGCACGAATCCGTCGACAACATATCCCTAGAATTAGTATTTTTTGGAAATGCCCCACCCCCAACCCAACCCACAATTTCTCCTTGAAACCAATCCGAAGCATTATCCTAAAAAAAACCTCTTTATCCAAAAAGGACTTTGCAAGAATGCTCCTCTTAAGTTTTCGACGCTAAGGAAAGTGGAATGTTTCATAGCCTTTTGAATATTGCAACATCATGCGTAACTGGTCTGGTAGGTTCTGTAAAATTACAGTTCTGTTCGACGTTGTGTAGAAACATCAAAAAGACAGACAAAGATAACCTTGAAAAGTCTTTATTTTTTTTTGTTTTGCTGATGCATATGAACTAAAATTTTAAAATAATTCCTCTGTTTTCTACAACGTCTATTCCGTGCTTTCAAGAAACAATATTATTTACCAACTCTCGGTGACTGAAAACATACATGTCAATTATGCAACAAGGTCTACTGACATAGATAAACTATATTTCCAATTCCTTTTGCTGTTTAAACAATATGATACATCAGTTAAGTTCTTATTTAAGTCTCAGTTCACGATGGATACAATGATCCACGTAGATCTGCAGGTTAGGCCATGATCTGCGTATTTCCGTTCGACATTTACTAGCGTACATGTCCTCAAGAATGTTCTCGATGGATTTTTCTTCACCATTGTTTCTCGTTGGCCGCTTAGCCTGTCAGTTGAGATTGGAGTAACCATCATTACAGTCTGACCAAATGCATTTTTATGACCTCAAAATTGTAATACTAAATGAGGTGTGCTCTGTTCAGAATGCCATGGCACCTCAGTAAAAGACGCAACGTTTACCAAAGGTAGCTAAGTTCATCAGACCTGAATCTGCACAAGCCGTATTTAGGATAGAAGTGAAGCTATCCTTCAATCTTTTATCTCCAATTCAATCTTCAGACTTCTTACACCCGCACAAACCCAGCACAGAAAACATCTTGCTTTAGCAATCTTGAGGAAAGTGCGACAGTCACAAAGCATGCTAACACGAGAACCACAATGCTGCGCTCCAGAATAAATTCCTGGTAAGAATATAGTCTCGTAAATCGAGATTCCAGTGGTGTCACCGAAGAGCCAGAAATAGAACCTCTTCTCTCAACTTGGGTGTGAATCATCTTTTGTGCTGTGCCAGGAAGGACGTTTTCTTCTGATACGACTTCCACAATTTCAGCCAGCGTTTGCTTTGAACTGAGTGATGTGTGTGTCGGATCGGGTTTATATATACACACCCCTAAGACATCATTGGTGTTTCTGACTCTCGGAAATTGCTATTGGACCCATTGTTGTTTCGCTGCGGTATCCGAGCTCAAAATAGCACAACCTGTTTTGCAACCAGTTTTCCTCAGGATATATTTCCTGAAGTTGCGTGTAAAAAAACGGCGCTTGTCTCTTAAATATTTACAACAAAAGTGTTCTTTGACTGTCTTACTTTGACCAATGTCTCATAATATTGTACATCTTTGTCTCTTCGTTATTGATTAGTCCTATTTCATTGCCTGGACTCTCTGGATGTGGTCTATTTTTGGACGATTTCTCGTGTTTTTCGCCGAGCTGTTTGCCCCCATGGTGGTAAAGCTGTTATGTGTCTGTCGTTTAATTGACTCGAGGCAATTTGGTTTTTCTTAGAAAAAACCCAGAGGTAAAGAAAGTTAAAGAGATTACTTAAACTATTGTGTGCAAAGTAGAACTCGGAAACTCTTACTTCAAAGTTATTGGTGAACGAGTGGACACAAGAGGTGCGCTAAAACCTCCAAATTTTCCCTTCGTTTTTGCGTTTATTTTCTCCTTAGACAAGAGATGTTTCTGGTTTGGGAAAAAAAAAAAGCAATAAATGTTGTGCCGCGGTTATGCGAGCCCATTATTAAACAGTCGGTTTAGCTCATGATCCGTTTCTTTTATTTGCATTTAAGAATTACACGTCTGAATACCTGTTTCTGTACAGAAAAGAAGTACTGTCCTTAATCCTTTTCTCTTGTTTCGAAATATTTCGTTTTTGTCGGGCGACGCTATAAGCTGGAACAGCGGAATGACGGAATACAGAATGGCGGAAATTTACTCCAAATTCTAAGAAATGAAACTGCAAAAAGTTACCCCTGAAGACGGAAAGGCGGAAAATTACGTCAAATCCTAAAAGGTGGAACGGTGGAAAATCATCCCAAATCCCTTTTCGTGGCCATGGCAGAAAATTACCCCAAATCCTTAAAGACGCAACGGCGGTCGCCATTTCCTCTTTTAGGATTTGGGGTAATTTTCCGCCATGCCGTCATTCCGCTGTTCCAACTTTTAGGTTCTATTTCTCGTTGATGAATCCCATTTCATTGCCTAGTTTGTCTGGATGCAATCTGTTATTAATGATTCTAGAATGGTTTATTTTAAGACGGTTTCCTGTGGTTTTCCGCTAAGCCATTATGCCCTAGAGCGGTTTCACTTGAAAAATTAAAGACATCCTTCACGTGAAATTAAGTTTTATTTGCTTGAAAATAATGATGATTAAAAAACATGGATACAGTCATTTCAAAGGATCGTGGATGTTAAACTTAGAAAAAGAAGGCGAATTTAGTAACTGATCTTTAAGCCGGTCGGTTACATTTCAACCAGACCTTCTTAATCCCTATAAATCCCTCTTAAATCTGGCTTCTAATAAAAAGTGTAACCAGGATTTTGTCAGGAAACCCTGAAAAAAAAAAAAATAATAATAATAAAGCGCTTAAAATGCGACTTTTGACAACATTCCTGTTAGGGGAGGAGGTTCCGAATCGACAAGAATTATGGATCGAGTAAATTTAGTCTGCATTGATCTTCCATGGGGATTGCAGATTAACCAATTTCTGAGGTAAAAATGATACATAATTGAGTAATAAGAACACTGCTTGGGAAATGCAGTATTTTTACTTAAGCCACGCTATCATATCTCAAGGGGACAACCTGCGTAGCTGACACCTCAAAGTACGTTCAGAACTTCCGACCACGCAAGCAAATAGGAAGATTTCTCGTTTCACTCTCCGGCGTAACCTAATAGACGAAAGTTTCCATAGTAGATTAGTTTACCATAAGACGTTACGCGCGTATAAATTTTTTTCTATAGACTTTGGAAAACTCTTGAAATTTTGGTCAAACAATCAAGTAACATTTGGCGCTCACGACGGCTGGACTGGGCGCGTAAATACACAGTACCGATATGTTATTTGAATAACCAAAACAACCGTTAAGACTCTATTCAATTATAGTACTTCAGCTTCGATGGAAAATGGGTATATGTTAAAAACTCACAAAATGAGCCTGAAACTCCTTACCGCACGCAAAACGTTTAACAAGATTGCGTTACCCGACGCTCAAAGCTGTGAGAAAACGGCTACAGTGCCGCCAGGTTCGCAAAGCGCTATCTTTGAATTTGATTTTTTTCTTATTTTAAAATACCCCAGGATTTCCGGTTATTCCTAAAAAAGACCTTTTTATTCTGTTTTTAGTAGTACTTAACAAAAATAACACTATATTAAAAATGTTCTTTTCATCAACACACTTCTAAATAGGACCTCACAGAACTCGTCTTGTGACGAACAACCTGATCGTTGCAATCTTCAAATGAAGAAGAAAGTTAACTCAACAACAAAAACACGCGTCTTGTCTTTTTTCTTCTCGTCATAACTTCAGAAAATAAATAGGACAATTGTGACAAAATGACAAAATCACCCCTACATGATGGTTGTAGCGCCAGGTTAATATTGATGAAGTATGCAGTCAAACGCCAGTGTTAAAAAAAAAAACCCCGAAGAGGAAGACCCGAAAACGAAGACTTGATTGGTCTTCAACACTCCTAGAAAGATTAAAACCGGAGCTGGATATCTCCGGCGAGAAACCATAACAAGATCATGTTTAATAAAGAGGTCTTCGTTTCCGGCTCTTTGTTTTCGGGGCGTAAGTCTTTGTTTTCGTGGGTCTTCGTTTTCTCTACAACCCTTACACGATAATTACATCGCAAGAGTGATTGTTGTGAACTTGACCTTCTTATCTCAAATTATGACAAAAAAGGTGTTGCAATCGATCATTTTGAGCAAGACACCCGCCTCTCTTTCAGATACGTTTTACTTGTCAAGACTTTCAAGATTATCAAAAGAAAATGTGAAGACAAATAGAAACGTGAAAGATGTCAGGGAAATTTTACACAAGTCCTTGCTCTGTGTTTATTTAACTTGGTAAGCCTGAACATAACGAACAATAAATGACAAATGTAACCCACTTTTATTCGATTTTTCCTAATTCCCTTTTCCTCTGCCGCCAAAAACTCCCACGAAGGTGTGTCACTAGTTGCGGTTTAGTAACGGAACGCAATCTTAGATAAAGTTTTGCGTGACAACACCAAATAACAGCTGGACCAAAATACATTACCATGCCACTAGCTACGCCTGGCCTTACCGGTTTTTTTCTTTTTATAGAATACCCTAGGGTTTCCGCCTAAATATAGATGATTGCGGTCTGTTTTTAGCTCTACTTGATGGAAATAACCCTTTCTCAAAAAAAAAAAAAAAAAAATTCCCACGAATGTTAAATGACCCCAGGCAATTTGAAATAAGAACACGTACGCAAGACTGTTTTGAGGCCAAAAAAAAACCTCCATCAATGGCAAATGAAATATTTTCTTAAGAGCTTGCTTCTGTTACAGTCTCGCAAAGACAGCCTAAAAATCTCGTAAAACGCTGATTAGACGATGAAAATTGCTATTAATTTATAGTAAAAAAATAATAAAACAACTTATAAAATAAGTATCTCAGTTTGCGCAAATTTTTGTGGTTTTCGCGCAATTATGATATAATCTTTTGCGGCATTCTTTGGAATGCCGCACACCACGCCCCCTAAACAGAAAGCCTATGTGTGGCTGCCAATGAGACTTCATATTATGCTTTGCCAGTTCTTGCGCAGTTCAGGGTCTTATCAAAGGATATACCTCTGGATTTCCGGTTTACCATGACTAAATATAGGCTGCTCTGTTTTTGCCGTGGTTGCTTTATTTTAAAAAAATAACTCATGATGAGAAAGAAATATTTTATATTCAAAACACTTTTGAACAAGAACTAGATTTCAAGTTCTTCCTCCTTTTCGGCAAAGTCCATCGCGTGAATCCAAAAAGATAACAGCGAAAAAAAGTTGATGTCAACGCGCCTCGCAGAACTTCGGGAGTGAGGAGGTCCTGCTCATGGTCCGAACAAGAACGGACAAAATCCTTCTTGGAACAGACACGGACTGAATAACTTAAAAAGAAAGTTTCTCCGGATCTCAGAACGTGGAGGAAAAGGTAACTTAACGACAAAAATGTATCTCGTTTTCTTGTCATTCTATACCAGTCTCAGAAGCAGACAATATTGAAAACATGGAAAATTCTCGTGCACATGTTACGAATGCAAAAGTTTGTTCGTAGGCACTTGAAGTTTGGTTGTTATAAAGAATGAAGAAATTCAGTTGCAATCGACGGAGCCCGGCAAAGCTACAAACTGTCCCGGATGTTTTCTACAGAATAAACATCTCTACCTATGGGTGCTAAATTGATTTCATTAAAAATTAATTATTCAGTTCTTCATTTATTCATTTATATTGTCTAGCACTTTCTTTATTTCTCTTACTTTTGAAATTTTGCTGGTCGTTTCTCGGTTAATTGTTATGCGATGAAGACACATGTTGGAAGACTTAAAAATTCATTCTTGTCTGGATCCCTTATGGAGCAAATTAAAGCATTTTTCACGGGGGATGCCACGGGGTAACTCGATTTGGCGGGAAAATATACCAGGCAAGTTCAGACCGGATCATGTGACGTCAACATTTACAAAATGGCGGCTGCGAAGGTTGGTAACTTTGTTTTCTTAGCTCGAAATTTTCTATTTTTTAGGCTCTCTTTGCGTTTCACCCATCGAGTGGGCGCCTAAATCCCTGAAAATATAAGTTCCAATCGATCTTTCTCTCTGTTTCAATTAAATCGGAAACCTGTGGGAGTGGGTTAGTTCCCTTTACGCGCAGAACTTCTGTTACTTTATGAGAGAGATAACCTGGTTTCCATAGTTGGGATTCATTGTGAGGTTATCGAGGGTATGACTATGTGTAGAACACCACGCAGACCATCTTAGCTGCCGCAAAGAAACGCATGATCGGGGCGATGAGGATCTTCTGATCTGGATTGCAATAGATTCCTTTTGATTCTCGCGATCAGTCGTTCGACTCGTTGGTGAACTTCTGAACATGTTTCATTTGCACTCAGATTCCCTGTATTTTCATTTGATTTGACTGAAGTACATGTCCGCTTCATGAAAGAAATGCAGAATATATGTGATAGTCATTTCTTTTTTTTCCTATCAACGGGTGGATCTTTTTCTTCACTCCCGATACCTTAAACTCCAAATTACTCAAACCTTGAAATTCCCAAGAAAGTTAAAGAGAAATACTCCAATATTACCCCACACCATTCTGAAAAGAATCCTTAGTCCCGAAGGTGATCTACTATTTTTGATTCATGCAGCATTAGTATGAGTTTCGAAAGAGTCACAAAGAATAATTCTTTATTTTATGTGTGTCACTAAGGATGCTGTTGTTATTATTTTGGATGTGGGCCCTTCGATGTGCCAGGCCCTCCCTGGCCATTCCACCTCACTTGAGATATCAGTCAAGGCTGTCAACATGATTGTACAAAGAAAGGTACGTATTAATTTATGCTTTACGTACCGTCCATTAGTTGTTGTCAGTATTCTTTGTGGACACTGATGGTCTTTGCACCAACTTAAAGCAGCCCTTTTCTCTAATGCACTCCAAATTACAACCGTTTTGGTGGCCATGGCAACCAAAATTTCAACTTAAAAAAGACGACCAACAGACAAAAAAAAATTGAAAAGTCTATCGATGTTTGGTGAAACTATTAAACATACAAACCTTGGTAATGCAACATGAAGTTTCCTCCCATTGGTATGATGATTTTTTTATTACTATGGTGACCATTTAACAGCTGAAGCTTTTCCAAAGGCAACTTTTTGAAAAAGGGAACTTGGAGCCCTTTCTTATGAAAGGTACCTGAGGTACATGTATTTACTCAGTTGGCATGTTCAAGAACTGAGGCAAATGATCCATACTATGCAAAATATTTCAAGTGATTTTCCACTGAAAGCAAAGTCCTTACAGTTATTTTTCATTTCAGATGTTTGCAAATACAAAAGATGAATTTGCTTTAGTTCTGTTTGGTACTGAAGGTATGTGCATGTTGCAGTTCAATTTCTTGATTTCTTAAAGTTTGCTTTCTGGAACTTTCAAATGATTGATCTGCCATTTTTTCATTTACATGCATGAGTTCATGAGACAGAAGGTTCTGTATGTGAGGATTGTTATTGTAATTATCATTGTCATCATCATTATTATTATTATTGTTTTTGTTATTATTTGTAAAAAAACACAGCCTGTATAACCAGGCCATTACTTTTGGATGGTTACGATAATTCATAATGACAATGATTTGAGATTGATAAATATTATTTGTTCACAGGAACATCAAACCAATTGAATGAAAGTGATGGGGAATATGAGAATATTACTGTGGCTCGCAGACTTGGTTTGCCTGATTTAGAACTGCTTCGTTTTATCCATGATCAGATAACCCCTGGTAAGTGACATTTTTGTGATTTCTTTTTATTTGGAACCAACACAGTGACCAGCTCCCAGTTGGCTTGTTAGCTCAGTTGGTAGAGCACTGCACCAGTATCACAAAGGTCATAGGTTCAAAACCTGTACAGGCCTTTTTTTTTCAGGCCTTCTTTTCACTATTGCTTAAGTTGTGTTCATTACTGCGAAGATCGCTTTCATATTCAAGTTTGATTTCTCCTTGGGGCATAAGTAGAACTGCCTTTTTAAGTGAGTTTTTTCTGTATATTATATAAGATGTTTCAATTTACACTTACAGTAAGTGTGTTTCTATTGCAGGTAATGTTGAAACAGACTGTATCCTTGCAAACTGACAAAATATTGTTACTATTTCTGCATTTTTAATGTTTTACATGACATGTAGATCTACTGTATAGTTGATTTTAACCCTTTAACCCCCGTAAGACCAAGACAGAAATTTTCCTCTCAATATCAATACAATATCAACCAGATACATGATGAAAATAAAAAAAATTAGTTGATCCAATATTAAATTCTCTGAACTAACACTATAAGAATTGTATGGTTGACAGTAAGGAGAATTACAAATTTGATCTGGGAGTGAAAGGGTTAACCTTGAAGCTGGTCATACTGAAACTTTCCTGTGACAGCTGATCTCTGCAAATTATTTTCGTTTTTGTGATCATCAAACAAATCCACACCACTTTAATTGTTTGTGTGATTTGTTGCAAGGCAGGAAACAGAAACAAACTTTTTAAATAATTTCTGTGTGTCATTGTGAAAAGAATGTAGGTGACACAGGCAGGTGTTGTTCTTGTGCAATTGTTTTGTTCTGACCACATTTGAATGTCATCTGTGATATAATTATTAGTTAAACAGGCAATTGTAGCATGAAATCAATTTTTTTTAACTGATAAATTATGGTATTAGAAGTTATTTTTATAATAAAGTAATTATATCACTCAGTCAGAATGTAGAATGTGTATTATGATTGGTCAATTTACATGTAGCAGGCGGTATCACTGTGCAGCCTGTTTACTTCAAATTGTTGTTTGAATCGAAATTTTCCTCCTCTATCTGAACCTAGAGATGTAATAAATTTAATAATTTACTAACCTCGTTTTCACAGTCCTCTGTAAGTTACAGAACCTTGTTTTTCCCACTTGGATTTATTGCTGCACACTTGGTGCTTGCAGCAAGGATCTCAAACTTGGTCAGTAATAGGTATATAATATTTAGTATAGATTTCATACGGAACTTTTTCAATGTTAAATGTTTGACCTTAACTTTTGTATAGTCATTGATGCCATCGTGGTTGGTGTGGATTTGTTGCGAGAACAGACAGTGTAAGAATTGCATGTTTCTTTATTAAGATGTTATTTCTGCTTTGGCATCTTAACCCTTTAACTCCCATGAGTGACCAAGAAAGAATTTCTCCTTACAATATCAATACAATATCAAGCAGACAAGTGATGAGAATAAACTAAAAAAAATCTTAATTAGGTGATTATTAGTTGATCCAATACTAAATTCTCCAAACTAACATCACAAGAACTATATGACAGACAGTAAGGAGAATTACTTATGAGATCTTGGGAGTTAAAGGGTTAAGAAAAGATATGATGAAAAGAAAAGATACAAAATGATCCAAATTTTCTGAATTACATTGTAAAGGAAGATAATTTAATTTTTCCTTTCAGAGGAAAGAAGTGTGAAAAAAAGATATATTTATTCACTGATCTTGGTTCACCATTTGGAAACGATCAGTTGGAGACCATCACAGAAGGCCTCAAAAGCTTGCAAGTCCACTTGACATTAATGTGAGCATGAAACTGTTGCTTACAACCTAACATTGCATGATAAATATACCAGATGCTTGTTTTAATCACTAATTTGCAATGGTGGAATTAAAGATGGCATAGTTGTACAGTATTGTTCAAAAGTATGTTGACAAACCCTCAAAACTTGATTCTCAAATTATTCTAGAAAACTTGGATATGAAAATTTGCATGTGTGCAATATGTCTGTTTAAAGAGGAGCCATGTGTCAATTAAAGGCTTTGTCATTTGTCAACTGCAGATTGAGATCCTTGAAAAGTTTATTTGAGCATCTTGATCCTTGATTCTAGATTCTCGATAGTTTCTAGCCTCAATTCTTAATCCTTGATTCTTGGTAGTTTTGAGAATCGAGGATTGAGTTACAGGTCAAGACTATCAACTTTCTTTTAACCAGTAATGTACAAACAAGTGAAAAGGATGTTTATAATAAACATTTTGGTCATCTCTCATGGCAAAAGTTTGTCTCCACAAATGTAAAATCTCTGTGTCCTCTTTGCTGCATGAAAATTGTGTGACCTCTGTTAGTGCATAACAAATACAAGCAGACAGGATGACACTGAGGTAGAATGGGTTTTATTGACAGAAGAAAATAAAGAAACTATAATTTGGATTTGAATTCTCTTATTAATAAATGAATTTACTGACATGCACATGCTCTTCTCAGAGGACCTGATCTTTATGATGATGAGGATGAGAGAACTTGTGCCACAGATGGAAGTGGACCTTCAACTTCAGTTCCAGATCGCAGAAAAGAAAGAACACCACAGCAGGTTTAAACCATTTCATACCTAGCATCTGAATATAAATTCTCCACTCTCTGTCTTTCATCTCTAATAATTTAAGCTTTGAGAATTTGGTGTTAAATCAAACAAATCCCACAGTTAATATTTTTCTATCTTGCCATAGAATAAAGTTCATTAATTTAAAAAAAAAATGTTACCATCATCTTTTTGCTAGAAAACATAGCAATATTGTAAAGAGGTTTTCCTTTTTGATCACTTCTTGGAGTGAATGAATTAAAATTTTTCTGATTGTACAATGAACTTGTAGGGTTATTTTCAACAATACAGATTTGAAATAAAATTGCTCATAGATAATTTAAAATCTTTAATAGAATGGTATGCAATTGCTATTTATTACTGATGTACAGGGTATTACATAAATCATGGCAATGTCCATTTTACAGTTGCATGCTTAGTTGCTAAGGCTTTAAACAAGAGTGAGGCTAAGGGTGACCTTATTATGAAAGATAAGTTGCTTCTTTCAAATGTAAGTTATGTTGTTATCATGCTAAACAGATACTGGTCTCTACCATAACAAGGTCACCCTTAGCCTCACTCCAAATCAAAAGCTTGGCAACTAACTACAAGACTGTAAATTTAAATGGCCCAATAATTTACTAATATATATACTGTGCCTTATTTTTCTCCATGCAGGTGGCAGGGGAAAACTGTATGAGACAAATGTTGGAGGCTTTAGATGGCGAGACATATTCCTTTAGGTATTATTACACCATAATAATTTGTTTAAGGTTAATGCAGAGCTATGATATATCATATGATTGTGCTAGATAATGAAAAATAATTTTTTTTTTAAATTTTTTTTTAAGTCATGTTCTACCGATGCTGAGCTTTTTCCAGACAAGATCAATCAAACAAACCACTGTGTTTAGAGGACCTCTGGAGATTGGCTCTCAGCTGAAAATAAATGTTTATGGGTACAATAGGGTAAAGAAAAGATATTTTATTATTGTTATTTTTTTTAATGACAATTTATCAATGTGACCAGCATTTAGCTATGATTAGCAGGCTCTTCTGGCTAACAGTTAATACAAAAAGTACAGCATTATGTGGAATGTTGACAGTACTCTACATCACCACTGAAAGTTTGAATTTTCAAGCAGCTTTGTATCATTTGTTTTCCATCAGTCCTTAATGGATTTTTAGGGATTGTTTTCCCCCATACTGCAGGACATGTACCTCATCTCACCCTATCCTGTTTTTGCTCATTGCACTTATCCAATCAGTGTTGACAGGTGTCTGGAATTGTAGTTACTCATGCACTGTGTGTTTGGCAAATGAGTTTTGCACCTAATACCCCAGACACCTACCTGCTATTGAAGCAAAGAAGCTGGTTTAATCTGCAATTGAAGAGATGCAAGGAGAGAAGCCTTAAACTCATGTCAAATTTTCTTGCATTCCCTGTGAAACATGGTGAGATTATTTGACCAAGTGTAAAAAAGTCATGCAGGGCTTTGATCCGTTCTCTTTATCCCCAGTCAATTGACCCATCAGTAGATTTCAACATGATGAATTGAAAATGCTACAACTGTATTTTTGTCCTAGAATAACTTTAGCTCTTTGAATTATCTGAAGGTAAGGGAGGAGAAGTTACCACCCTGGAAGAAGTTGTCAGCTGTTTCTCAAATGTCTCCTAACCCTGACACAATGGAAGTACAGATGCAACGGTCATATCACTTGATTGATGAAGATGATACTGAAGTTGACAAAGAAAATGTAGCCCAAGGTATAACTCTGACACAAATGTTTTTTTTTTTGCCTATAAATCCTTGCAGTGGCACTAGGAGGGGTTGAAGGAGGGAGAGGGGCTTTTTTATGAGGGGTGTGTGATTTAGTATTAGAGGTTTCAGTGAGAGCCTAAAACTGAGATGAAATTCACCATCTCTGTCAAGCAGAATCTCTGCTTACTTTCTCTAGGCTCAACAACATGAGAAAAAAAATAAAACCATTAGTAGCCCATTTCTTTGAAGTTTTTGCTCAGCCTACTTCAGAATGTATGGGAACATTTGTGAGGGTGAGATTGTGACTTTTTTTGGTGGGGACATTTTATTTTTTTAATTTTTACTCAATGCTGATCCTAAAATTTTAGTTGTGGTACTTGTTCTCAAATTGAAAATACCAAAATACCAAATAAAAGTACTTCCTACAACTAGTTCAGCAAAGGAATCCTCTGCCTATCAGAAAACATTGGCTGCTTCTTTAAGGGGGGCATCTGCAGTGTTCTAGTGAAAATCGGAGGGGAGGTATTCAAAGGATAGCTTATTTCAAAGGGGAGGGGGGGGTTGAAATTTGAAGATCAGTAACTACATGTATTTAATTACTTCTTTAAGCAGAGTGTTTTATTTTTTCTCTTTTTTTTTACCAGGAGCTTCATGTCATAAAAAATGGTATAATAATAAATAAAAGCTAAGTTTTTTCCTTTGTCTCACGATGCAGTCATGTGTGATGTAGATCGCGACGTTTCAACTGTATACTGCTAGTCTTCTTCAGCCGACGAGGTTAATGATCTACATCACACGTGACCACATCATGAGACAAACGAAAAAACTTAGCTTTTGTAGTTATTCACCACAATGAATAACCACAACCTTTTCTATGAAATGGTATAATTTTGATCATAAGTGCTATTAATATAAATAATTATTTACTTGTTATCAAATAGGGTACCGGTATGGAAAGACATTGGTTCCCTTGACCAAAATTGACAAAGAGAGCATGAAACTCTCCACAGAAAGATGTTTATCCTTACTCTGTTTCACTTCCAATGAAAATGTAAGTGCTGATGACAGAATTAAGAACCATGTTAGGAAAAGTCAACTTGAATGAACAAACAACTAATCAAAAAAGGAAATGTACTAATTTGATCGTAAAATAGAAATTTAAAAAGTAACAACCATTTTGTATACCTGTAATTGCAATTTCTCTCTTGATATGTTTATCTACAGTATATCTTGTATTTTAACACTGAGAATATCAATCTTTCATGTAAAATAATGTCAAAATGGGGATATGCTCTAAGATATCAACAGAATGATTTTTGAGGCTCTGTACTTTCCTTTATTTCTTCATTTCTTATGAATGTACTCTATTTCCTGGAATAAGCGCCTTGGGGCTTATTTAAAATTTTGACTGAAAGGGGTGGGGTCCCTCATGGGCAGGAGGGTGCTTGATCAAGGAGGGTGCTGATTGTTCTCCTGTGCTGATTCTGCCATAGTTGAAGCTTAAAAAGTTAGAAATAAAGTGGCAATGGAAACAGGTTTTCCATTTATCCCAGCCTACTATTAAGAAATTGAGGGAGATAGGGGGGTGGTTATTTAATGGGTTCATATGTTTGACATTGAAATGAGCACTTATTTGAGAGAGGGTGCTTATTAGAGCATGGGAACTTAACCCTTTAACTCCCAAGATCTCATTAGTAATTCTCCTCACTGTCTGCCATGCAATTCTTATGATGTCAATTTGGAGAATTTGGTATTGGATCAATTCATAATCCCCTAATTGATATTTTATTTTATTCTCATTGCTTCTGTGCTTGATATTGTATTGAGATTGTAAGGAGAAATTTTCTCTTGGTCACTAATGGGAGGTAAAGGGTTAATTGAGGAGATACCATATGACTGAATGTACATGTATGAGGGTATGGTGTATGTTAGTAGCAGTATATAATAACGTAACATGCAATTCCACAGGTCCAGAGATATCAGTATGTTGGAGATAATGTAATAGCCTTTGTTCCACAGCCAGGTGATCAGGTAATTAAACCTTAAGACTTCATGAAATAAAAAAAATCCAAAGTATGCTATACAATGCAGATTGTAATAAGAATCTACTATGATTGTATTAAAAGCTAATGATCCTTTGATTTCCATCCATTATCTGCATGAAAGTTTGTGATGACTGATCTGCCATATTTAACAATCATTTGGCCATTTAAAAAGGAAAAAAAATATTTTTGGGCACAGAACTCCGATGAAATTTGAGATCTTGGGAGATGAAGATTAATTATTGTGAGATTCATCAAAATTTTTATTCTTTGGGGTATTTACATGTATATGATGAAACCTTCATTGTCATTAGCAGCTACTCTCAACATCCAATTATCCAGTTAGTACCCTAATTAACATGTAAATTACCAATTCAATAATGATATATATATTTTGTATTTAGCATGCTGCAGTTGCACTCTCAGCGCTGATAAATGGCATGTATGAGCTGAACACTGTTGCAATTGTAAGATATTGCAGAGTGAAAAATGCTCCACCCAAGCTGGGCTTCTTGGCTCCACACATTAAACAGGACTATGAGGTAGATGTCTTTTTCCTTTTAATGCTCAGTGGGCCAAGTTGTATCTATTGTGGTTGCTATGGAAAGTTAAAAAAAAAATGTTAAATAAATTTAACTGCACCTGGAATTTCTATTCCACTGCCTCATAGGGTGAAGAAATGTTGCATTCCTCATTAGTAATACATGTATGGTGGTTACTGCCTGAGATATGCATAAAAACAATATTGTAGTGAAGCACCGTAAACTCTTGTTTGATACTAGTGTTGTGACATGATTTAAGTTGATTATTTTCTTTTTTTTGTTTGGATTTTACTCCAGTGCCTCCTTTTCACAGCTTTGCCATTTTTAGAAGATCTACGTCAGTTTGCCTTTGCACCCCTTGATGCTAACAAGAAATGGGAACCATCTGGCAAGTGCATGCTGTTATAAATTTGATGAATATAAATTAAATTGGCAACATTAGGCATTGTTAATAAATTAATGATCAAAAATGGTTTTATACATGTACATGTACATCCATACTTTGAATGCAATTATTTGGTAAATCTCTAGTTTTGACAATCTTGATTAACCCTAATACACCCTAACATCAGTATGCAAACTCTCCACACAATGCTCTATACATTTCTTAAAGTACTGACAAGGAGAATTTGTGTCACAATCAAGAGCTTTTTTAGTTGGCGATCATTTCCTTTACTCTCGTAACCTAAATGTGAGATTCTGGGATGATACTGTAAGGAGAAATTAGGTGCTAATCAATCTTTAGGGTTATATGATGAAAGGGCTTTGTAGCTAAAAATGAAAACCTATCACCTGATGGTCTTGTTTTTAGGTTAGTGATGATTGATACAAGTAATAACTTGCAGTGGTAAAATTGAAAAAAATCCATGTTTGACTTGACATTTTTGTGATATTGTTCTCATGACATTGTTACCCATGGGAACAAATGTTTAATCAAGCTTTTATATTTCATTTTGCTTTTGTTAGGAGAGCAACAAGATGCTGTGGATAATCTCATCACTGCAATGGATTTAACAGATGCTCAACGGTGAGTTATCTTCGGTTGGTACAAAATGGTTTCAGCAGCTTACTTGAGGTTTATCTGACTGCAATGTAATCCTTAGGTGACCCACACTGTCTTCATTTTGTGGCTCTTAACCCTTTACACCCTAACATCAGTATGCATATTCTCCATACTGTTATACATTTCTTAAGGTGCTGACAAGGAGGATTATTTTGTTTGTCAATCAAAAGGTTCCTTCCCTGGTGACCATTTCCTTTATTCTCGTTACTTTAATGTGTGATTCAGGAGTGATATTGTAGGGAGAAATTAGATGCTAATCGCTCTTAGGGTTTAAAGGGTTAACTGACTGTCCATTATTGATTGGGATGATATGTAAGATTATTTTGATGACAAATCAATGAAAAATATTGTTGGGAATGTAGATGATAATATATGGTAACTTTTAAACACTGAAAGGAATTTAACCCTTTAACTCCCAAGATCAAATTAGTTATTCTATAAACTGCTTGTCATACATTTCCTTGTAAGTTAGACAAGAGAATTTAATTCTATATCAAGAGATAACTGATTTGCTTCTCTGTTCTTGCAACATGTTTGCAAAAGAACATACCAGTTAATCACTTCTAGGAGGTAAAGGGTTAACTCATTCCTTTATCAAACGTACCTTTCCTATAAAACCTGTAAAGATATACAGTTACACTGACTGAACAATTAATTGTTCAATAGATATATACCAGTAATTTCTAGGGCTTCTTATTTTAATTGATAAGTAATCTCTTTTTCCTTTGCTTAAGTGATGAGGATGGGCAGGCCACAGAGGCACTTAAATGTAGCAGAACTTTTAACCCTGCTCGACAAAGAGTTTTCCAGGTAATCTAGGGGGGTACATGTATAGTTGGATTCACATTTTTTTTTTATCACTACTTTTATCCCATCTAGTGATGTTACCATTCTTTTCCTCTTCCTTGTTATGAAATAATAACCTAATTTCTTGTGTTCAAATCATACATTTCAGTGCATTCAACATCGTGCTCTTAACCCAGATGATCCATCATTACCAGATTTAGATCCTGTGATTGCAAGGTACTTAATGGTTTTCTTGTATCCTTTGAAGTCCTTAACCCTTTTCACCCTAACATCAGTATGCATATTCTCCATACTGTTCTCTATACATTTCCTAAGGTGCTGACAAGGAGAATTTGCTTAACAATCAAGAGTTCCTTTCGTAGGTGATCATTTCCTTTCCTCTCAGGGCTTAAATGCTTGATTTAGCTGTGATATTGTAGGGAGAGATCAGATGCCTACAGTCACTCTGGGTGGGTGAATACATACAAACTGAATAACTTATAAGTTTTCAGAAAGATGGTTGGACCTACATTTTGTTTAACCAGGGGGCTTTCTAAAGAGGAGGGGCATACAGTGTCTCCTGAGTTTTGCATTCTGAGAGGAACAGGAAGGAATTCTTCTTTTGATCTGTGAAATTAATCTATTCCTGTGCAGTTATTTGGAGCCAAGCACAGAGTTCAAAGCAAGATGTGCTCCTGAGTGTATGAAAATTAAGGTGAGAAACTCTTTCAATTGGTAGAACTTGGCAGTGATATAAAAATTTTAGTGGAGTTTGCAGAGCGTAGCCCATAATTATACAAAATAGTAGTAACCCATGAAGCCGAAAAAATTTGGATTTATGACCGTACGACTGTACAACTGTACAACCATACGACTGTACAAGGTGCTACTTTTAACATGTGTGGTCAACTGTGCCGTGGACACACCAATGCCACGGCTTTGTTCAGTAATCCAGTGGTCAGTGCACTGGGCTCTGAGTCGGACAACCTGAGTTCTAGTCCTGGCCGAGGCAAGACGTTGTGCCCTTGAGAAGTGCGGGGGAAAAAAAAAAGCAAGCTCTGCTTTTAGGCTTGGCTAAATCTATATTAATGTTATGTCACTTGCATACATTTTGTAAACCATATGTATGTAGATGTATCTTGCAACTTTATTTCTGTAGTAGTTGGTGCTGAACAATCTAAGTACTATCAGTAATTGTGGAGTTCAAAAGGGATAGGAAATCTCTTTTATGATTCAGTTTCTTATTTTTTGGGGGGGAAGGGGTGGGGGGGGGTGCAAGGCTTGAACAAAAGGTACTAACAGAAAAATTATTTTTAAGTCAATTGTTCAATGACTTATTTTAAGTCTGTTTAAATGAAAATTTTGTCTATGTTGTTGTTTTATTTTTGCTCTAAAGGATATGTTCCGCCTTGAAAAAATTGAAAAAAAGAAAGAGTACACAGCTGAACACATATTCAAACCAATGTATGGATAAATATCTTGTCATCAATGACTGATACATTTGTAATGTTTCAGTGAACTTTTACTTAATTCTTGTTTTGTATGATTATGTACACATCAATGTGTTGTTAGTTTGATCTAGTTTTATTAATTATTATGTCAGAGCTCATTTCAGCTGAGCACCCTTAACCTTTTTACTGCCAGGATGTTATTAGTACAGTAATTCTCCTAACTTTTGGCTATATAATTATTTTGGTGTTAGTTTGGAGAATTTGGTATTGGATCATTTAAAAAACCCCTAGTTGATGTTTTTCTTTATTCTCAGCACTTGTCTGTTTGATATTGAACTGATATTGTAAGGAGAAAATATGTCTTGGTCACTCATGGGAGTTTAAGGGTTAACAACCATGCAAGACCATAGTAATCAGAATGGCTGAGAAGAACAAAGAGAAAAAAAAATTAATCACAAGGTGTCAGTAGGATTCAAAAATATAAATATGCTTAAGATTTGGAAAAAAAAGAAACTGACAAAGTTGGGCTGGTTAAAGGTATACATTTGATTGGTTGTTAAGGCAGTGTTTTTGATGTTCAGCTGACAATTGATTGCACTATGCATTATTTGACCTCAGTGTAGACAAGCCAAATGGAGAACCGTCAACCAGCAGAACAAATGCTTTTGATGAAACTGACTTCAGTATGGCAAGTTTGGCAAGAGGGCCGATCACTAAGGTATGATAATGCCATTTAATATCTTCTTGTTTTGATGCTGTGTGTTTAGTTTAAATGCATGATAGATGAGACTGGCACTCATTAGTGAGCAGACAGAGAGTTCCCTACTGCAGTAAACTCTGACTTCAACTTCCACAAGTGAACTGCCCTGTTGCACATTTCACAACTCCAAAAATTAAAATACATTTAATAATATGTAAGCTGTGCAACTTTGTATCTGATAAGTATTGCTTGTTCAGGTTGGAACAGTTGATCCAGTGGGAGACTTCCGTACTCTCATCACCAGACGGGATGAAGACAGGTTTGATGAAGGTAGAGACTGCATTTTTTCAGTACCTATGAACTTTCAACATCTAAGATCAGACTAGAAAATCTCCTCTTGCTTGTTCACACTCTTTCAATGAACTGGACAATGAGTATTGTTATATAATCACATTAATTATCACTTTTCTCAACATTGTTGAAAATACAAACAAGAATGTTGTTCACAGTTTATTCACATATTTAAACTTAACTCTTAACTCCTAGTATCTAATGATCAATTCTCCCCTCCAGCTGTTACACATTTCCTTTTAAACTAGTTATGAGAATTTGGTGTTAGATCAGGATAACAATTTCTACCAGTGACAACTTTGAGTATTCTCATTACCTGTTTGCAGGATACTGTTCAGATATTTTTGGGAGAAGTCACATGTTAATCACTTCTGATTAACATGAAAATGGAAGTGAAAGCTTTGCCTTGTTAATATTACCATTACAATCACTTGGACAATGATTGTTGATGTGCAAGACAGAAATATATTTATTAATTAGGATTTAACATTGTACGTTTTCCAACAATGCAGCTGCCAAACAAATGAGAGAGTGTATTGTGCAGCTGGTGTTAGATGCATTTGGAGATCAGTTTTATTCAAAGGCCCTTCAGTGTGTAAATGTGCTGAGAGAGGAGGCTATCAAGGTAAAAAAAGCACTGAAGAAATTTAATATTTTACATTTTACAAAAAAAAAAAAAGTTTTGCATGTTTACCAGTTTTGCATGTGCAGTGCACAGTGGAAATGTTTTCAAATAAGCTAAATTGGATCGGAGCACAGTGTTATTTCCACACACTTTCAAGGGGATTCCCTGATCAGCCTCACAGTGATGGGCTTCCACCCCAATATATTGCATCAATATCAGCATAACCTTAAGGTACTCCTTCTCTCTGCCCCATGATAATGCACCACTGTAAGTGCAATCTTTTGGAGCCCCTACAAATTTTGTTCCCGCAAGTCAGCTGTCTATACTGATGATGTACTACTCTGGTTAGCTCTCATTTACCTCACCCCTAAGTATGTTTGGATTTTTTCAGGCTGGGGAATCTTTGATGTTTAACACATTTCTGCAAGAGTTGAAAGAGAAGATTGTCAATAAATTAGGCCATAGATTTTGGCTTCTGATAGTGAAAAGTAAGAAAGGAGATGCTTACTACATACTAAATAGAAGAATTACATTTATTGTTCAGTCAAAACAGTTCATATAATTGTTAGTGTTAAAATGTTCAGCCTTGCAGCATAATCTTAATATATATATTATATAAGAGTCTCCTTATGAGTGGAACTTTAAAATTTTACCTAGGCTCTAAGGTTCTTAAAACCCCAACTCCATCTCTAGCAAAAAACCCAGCTTTGAGAGAAGCTTTTGCTGTGTTTACCATTTTGAGATTTGGGGCTTACTGATGCCCATAGTTCACAGTTATGATAATTTCAGTATTTTCTTTTGTTTTATAGAGGAAGTAACCTTAATTAGTCAAACTGAATCTCCAGATAGTAATGTCACAGACAATCAAGCTAAAGAGGTAAGCTATCGTGGATTGTACAGTGTAGTCATGTACACTTAAATTAATCTAAGACATTAACTTTTTAACTCCCAGAAGTGATTAACATAAAACTTCTCCCTACAATATCCATACATTCTTCAGTAAACAGGTAATGAGAATATTCAAACTTATCAGATAGAAGCTGCTATCTTGATCTAGCACCAAGTTCTTGTAACTAATTTACCAGGAAATGTGTCGTAGCTAGAGGGGAGAATTAACAATCAGATCTTGGGAGTTAGAGGGTTAAGATTCCTTGCAGGAGAAGTGGGCAGCCAAGCTTTTTCCATTTTCCCACTGTTTTATGCTTGCCTACTTTTTTTTGTACCCTCACCAAACAATGGCCCAGCATAAGCTAAGAATGACTGACTGTTTAACCAGCCTTTGATCGTCTGCTTTGCTGTGAGCTCCATTATTACCATGCTTATCAATTCTCTCTCAGTCTAGGTTATAATTGATATCTGGTTCAGTGCTTCAGATAAACATCAGCAGATATTAACTTGAAAATGTTTTTTGCTAACAGTTTTTAGAAGGTCATGATGGTGCTGTTGAAAAGGAAGAACGTCCAGCCAATGATTATACAGACGATGCTGAGGATCTTGTAAGTTAATGACTATTTCCATTACCCTCACTAAAATCTTATACTGTATCAAAGGATTTTACCATTATTTATTATCAATAATGTAACGTTTTCTTTAAAATTTATAGTTTACTTCCTAAGAAATGAAGGTTAAAGTTTTCTAGTGTAGCAGTTTAGTTTCAAACCAAATTATAAAGAAATGCCCCAGCTGGGAACATATTGTTTATCACTTTCTAGTGGCAGTGTACATGTATCTTAACAGGAAAGTGAAGCTAGTGATGTTAGTGGGATTTTATGAATACTGTCCTCTGCCAAAAACGGTCTTGTTTATCTTTGTCTGTCATTGTGTTCCTTTAGCTTGAGCTGATGGAATGAGATTGATCCAGAAGAGGATTGTGCTGAATAGCAGTTTCCTGGGAATGGATCAATAATTCAAAACTCACATGTTTGTTAAAACACTGTTCAGGACTTGACTTTTTGGATGAATTTATGGTGGAATGACAAAAGACAGCTGGAAAGTGTTGTCATGAGTATGGTTGGCTGTATACCCTCAACCTTAACCAGTTTCTTCTCAAATATACCTTAATGAAGAGAACTGCCATTATATACAAGGAAAGACAAGCTCTTCCTGCCAACATGAATATTCTCTTTTATTGTATTTTAACCCTTTGACTCCAGATCAAATTTGTAATTCTCCTTACTGTCAACCATACAATTCTTATAATGTTAGTTCAGAGAATTTAGTGTTGGTCCAACAAATTATCCCCAAATTGACATTTTTCTTTATTCTCATCACTTATCTGGTTGATATTGTATTGATATTGTAAGAAGAAATCACTCATGGGAGTTCAAGGGTTAAGAGGCTGGAGACTGACTGTTAAAGGAAAGACATTTGGGTGAACATACATGTAGTTGTTATTTAAAGTTAGGTTTTTATAGCTAAAAGCAGATCAAAAAGATTTACATGAAATATTAAGAAAGAAGTATAATTTTTGAAGAACCTTTAGTGTCAGGTGGATGGAAGTGCACTTATTTATCTATCAGTGTAAATCTTTTTGTAAAAAAAAAATTATGGTCCAATTTAAGTCTCATGATGCATTGTATTTAGTCTTTGTATTTGCCTAAGTCTCTTGCCACTTTAAAGTTAAAAAAGATAGTTGTAGAATGTAAATCAAAAGTGAATGGTTTTGTTTCTCATTAAAACACTTGTGTTAAAGTGAATTGTGTAATTCTCATTCAGGTAAAAACATTGAAACTTTAAAACAATGAACACATTGCAAACTTTCAGCAGTTTTTATTCTTGCCAGGTCTTATCCCTGGATGAGTAAGCATAAGGAGGTGGAATTAGGCTTTTTCTCAGTGAAAGCAAGGACTGTATGAAATAACAATAGCTTAAGGCTGGGTAGTACCCACTGGGCACAAAAATCTTATTGCACAGTCTGTATAATTATAGAATATTTTACATCTGAAGAGACTGACAGTTGAAGCAGAAGCTAGATTATCTGTTTCTCGTGACTCTCTTTGTTAACTTACAGTTAGATAATTTAACAACATTAATTAAAGTTCTTCGTGCGATCCTGTGTCTTCATTTAAGCTGTTTTCTTCTTCCTCTTTTACCACAGGCCCATGAGGAGGATCAAGTAAACGGGCCACTTTCTTAAGATTTTCTTGTGTAATAGTTAATATGTCCTGTTTTGTCAAGAATCCTTTTCTCTCAGTATCCAAAAGCTGATGAAAAATTTTAAAAGGTTCTTCACTTAGTTTGTCTTTATCATGGTCCCCCTCTCTGTCTTCTTGTTGCTGCCATAGATCAAGAAATGTATATTTTGTTAAAACATCTTCATTTTTTTCCTTCATGGTTGCTAGTATGCTATAACGCAGAACCTCCACGTTCATGTAACCCATTTCAATAAGCCTGTCTCCCTTTTTATATGTCCAGTGTACTTTCAACTCACTAAGTGGTGTGTATTCAAAATGTTCTCTGTCACAACCTTTGGGTTCAAAAGGTGCCCCCACCAGGGGTCCTGATGTGAAGAGAATTGTTGCTGAGATGGTTCTGTTATATGACCGCACCTGATGTATGTATTCTACAGGGAGAAAAAAGTTGAAAAGAATTAGGTATATATGGTTCCTAATTTTTTTGCAAGTAAAGTGGGAATGAAATTGCAAAATTCAGATTTTAAATGAGTGCTCATTAATATTTATCAAAATATTACCATGCGATAAGTGTAACAAATTACTCATTTAAAAAGAAGGAAAGAAAAAAAAGATGTAGTTAAATCTTAAAAAGCGAGTTGGTAATAATTTTCAAGTGCTAAGAGGTTGTTCTGCACAAACCACATGTATATAAATGATTATTATGCAGCACAGAAGCTTGTTTAGAGTTTCACTCACTGTCCCATTTTTTTAAATTAAAATTTCTAAGGATGGTTTACATTACTGATTTGTGTCAGTGGCACTTTTGTTTTTTTATTTTCTTGTAAACCTTGAGTTTATGCTTCATCCTTCTAACTGGATGCTGTGTTTATTCCAGGGAAGTAGTTATTGATAATTTTGCATGATCCTTTTACCAAGTTTAGGCAAGCTAAGGGTGGTCAAGGTTTGAGGGAGGCCTATGATGACATGACAAGATAATTTTGGTTTTATCAACTAAGTTGTTAAAGTACATTGGTCACAGTAGAGAGTTTCATAGCTGACATTTCAAACATTAGCCATATGTCAGAGCATTAACCCTTCACTCAGATGACAGACTAATGCTCAACACATCAGCTTTGAAACTCTACACCAATTTTCAGCATCAACTCAGCTGATAAAACTAAAATTATCTCATTAGACTCCCTCAGTAATGCAGCATCACGGTTTCTTCAGCAACTTACCCCCTTTATAATAAGTAAAATACAGTACTACAGGATAGTTCCTTCATGCACAGAAATCAAACTTCCTGCAGTAATTGGTAACCCTTGACACCCAACCTAATGGCTTTACCTGCTGGAATGTAAATACAGTCCCCTGGCAAGAGTGTTGCATAGGTCCATGGTACATTAGCCACATTAGGATGTTCAAACAAGTTAATCCTGTTTGGGTCAATTTCTGAAAACCCTGATCCTGAATGTTGATTCTGAAAGTTATAGAAAAACACTTTGAGTATATGGTGGAAAATTAAAGAAGCCCTGAAAAAAATAACCACCTTTTTCTACTCTTTTGGACTAAAATGAATACAAAGTTTAAAACAACATTTTAAACTCTACCATTTCTCTAAGCTTTTATTTATATATTTACCTTCTCTAGGAAGTACAAGTCTGTATAGTATTTTTTCTCCATCATGATAAAATCCTTGCGCCCAGTTACCAAGCAATGCAAGTTATGATCTGCATCATAATGAATGACTGATCGCGTTCCTCCTGAACTCATCCAGAAATTGGTTTCATGGACATAATCAAGAAATGTGCCACAAAGCAAACAGGTTGGAACCTGAGTTCAAGGAAGTTTTAGAGAAATATAAGCTGACAATATATATACTGGTTTTTTTTCTTGAATAAGCGCTACACCCTAATAAGTACCCTGCCCTGAAAAAGTGCCCTCCCCATGAGGCAATAATGTCAAAAAAGAACCCCTCTCAAATAAGTGCCCCCTCTTCCCTTGGTTTCTTAAATAGTAGGGATACTAGGAAAACCTTTTTCCATTGCCACTTTATTCAAAACGTTTTAAGCTCCAACTAGAGTGGAATCTGTATAGGAGTATAATAGGTGCTCCCTTGATTAAGTTCCCTCCCTCAAACAAGTGCCCCTCTTTTAAGCCAAAAATGTAAAAAAGCGTCTAAGATCTTATTCGAGGAAATACAATGCATTATTTATTATCAATGTTTGAAAGTTTGTTGAATTTTTTTATAAATACTTCCTTGTAACTTAATCAATAAATCCCCTGGTAGAGGTGGGTAACAAGTAACTTCTACAATAACTTGAGTTAACCCTTTAACTCCCAAGATCTAATTGTTAATTCTCCCCTCTAACTGCTACACATTTCCTTATAAATTAGTTATGAGAACTTGGTTCCAGATCAAGATAGCAGCTTCTACCTGATAAGTTTGAATATTCTCTTTACCTGTTTGCTGACTAATGTATTGTCGAGAGAAGTTTTATGTTATTCACTTCTGGGAGTTAAAAGGTTAGATCAATTCATCACTAAGCAAGTAAGAAGCAATGGACAACGTTATCAGCTGGGTATTTTCTTAAATTAATATCAGACCAAATTCTCAGACCGAATTTACCAGGAAGCGTGCAACAGTTATATTAAACGTGCAGTTAGATCTTTCAGGAATTAAAATTTAACTAACAATAACCTAATTGGACCGATCACTTCAACAAAAACATGAACTATCTATAACTTGAAGTAGTGTCTTTTGAATCTTTTGTATACTTTTTTTGAACTGCACTTTCGGTAGAATACCGGATGGACGGTTTTTCATCCAATATAAATTTTCAGATTTACACGTAATCGACTCCGTTAGAGCAATAAAAAGATTAATTTTCTTGCCATCAAGGGCGCGAGAAGCAAACAATAGATAGTTAACAACCTGTGAACTTCTTTAAACCAACATTTTTGTTTACCTCTACTTCTGGTTGGTTACCTTACCTGAACATCTCGTCTCATCGGATCAGGCAAAACTGTAACAATATACATATCTTCTTCCTCGTACCGAGAGAGAAACTCCGCAATAGTCATCCTTCGAGGAGGATGAGAACGATTTTCTTGTTTTAACTCAATGAGGACATCTAGGTCTCCATATTTGTCTTTTAAATAATCATCCGTCCACGTAAATAAAGCGGGTGATTCGCCGATTCCCTTTCGAAACACCAATGGAATGCCTTTACCAACATGTTTCTCCCAAAACAAATCACCTCGAAGAACGTCAAAGTACTCTTTGACGGGTCCATCAGGAACACGCTGATAGCCCAAAGGTTGAAGATGCCCCTTAGGAAACTGTTCATTTTGAGAGATACCAATGGTTGGAGGAAACTGGATCGGAGAAGGAACACTGCTCGCGGTCGAAGTTTTCAGGAAAGCGAACGTGACAAAGGAAATTGCCATCGATAATTTTCGAATGAGAAAGTTCCTATTAAAATCCAGCATGATCACTGAAGACTTGAACTGCTTTCTTTCCTCTATACAACTTACTTTAGCACCTGCATGATCTGACACTTATTAGTCCGCAGAAGTCTGGAATTGTAAAGGAGTAAAACAATGAATTTTGTATTTTTTCATGTAGTTTTAATTGAAACTGGACCCAGATTCTTCTCGATTTCGTCACGCAATCTTGTCGAAATAATTACGCGATATCGTTTCGCCGCCATTTCTCAGCGTTGTGTGTAAAGATCTGACTTGTTTGAATTTGCGGCGCCATGCAACCTTCTCCGACTAAAGTTAATCCAGATTTAGCCAAAGAGCGAAAAAAAGCTTCATTCAACCCGACGGAGTTGACGTACCTCCTTTACGGAGGAAAGCATAAGACAGAACGGAAACGATTCCTAGGTAATTTTTCATCTCCACATAACTTAATTGTTCCAACTTTGTGTAAAGATCTGAGATTTGGGATAGGATAAGATGAAACTTCCATTAACATCTTTAAGCGTTACAACCAAGGATCTAGACGTACTCATTATATCAAGAGTAGTGGAACGATCAATACTTGAAAAAAAAAGGTTTTAAGATTTCTCAGCAATTCCCAAAAGTGCAGAGAAATTAATTACATTAGTTCTGGTCGTTTGTAAAGTTGTCATTTTTTTTTCGCATCGCATTGCATTGAAGAGTCATTGTTAGTGAAAGATCCAGTGTTTTGCAAAGAAGATGCATACATCCTTGATCGCAAACATGGCTACGAGAGGGCTTTACAAAGAGGATTACGAGCTGTTGAACTGTGTAAGGAACACCAAATCACTGATCCAGATGAAATCACCTTATTAGGGAGGTATGCGTTTACCTTGTAATTCCCATCTTGTTCCTCTTCGATTCACTTATCCTAGTTTAAAATTCTACCAAATTCGATTGTCCTTGACAGTAATACAAGTCAGTGAACTAACATACATGTGATTTTGTGTTCATTTTCTATCTGATCCTGTAAATATTTATTATCATTGTAACAGTTATGTTTCTTGTAAAGCGCTTTTGATCTTTTTGTTGTAAATAGCGCTATATGAGCAGTAAATTTCTGTATAAATTTATGCGTTCTGTCCTTTAGGTTTGCTGGGACTATATTTCCATTCCACTTGAACAAAGTTATGTTTATTCCCACTTTAAAGGTATACCCGGATTTTATATATTGAACATATGTGTTTCATTCTTAACCCTTTAACTCCAAAGATCTGAATGTCAATTCTCCCCTTTGGCTACTACACATTTCCTTGTGAGTTGATTAAGAGAATTAGGTGTTCAATCAAGGTAATAAATTGTATCTGATGAGGTTGAGTATTCTCATGACCTGTTTGCTGCATAATGTATGGATACTAGAGGATTAGAAGTTGCATGGTAATCACTTCAAGGAGTAAAAGGGTTAATAGTGATTTCCATTTGCAGGTGAGCTATCTTTAAGTAACTTTAATATTCATCTCCGTTTCCAGACTTGGTGCGAAAAAAAATAATTAAAATTGAAAATATAAATAGTCCTTAAAATTTTATTGGAGCATTTAATTGTATTTAAAGCAGTATACTGGTATATGTTGTTGCTTGAATGGTGCAGATGTCTTGCCCATACTAGAGAGAGCTCATTGATCTAACAAGCTGTTAATTGTTTACTGATTTGCCATGTTTGATGTGGAGTAAGAGAGTGCCCCCCCTTTCTTCATCTTTCTCCCCCTACATGCACTATCAACCCCCTCCCTAGAAATTTCATTCTCTCCTCAATCTCCTTCTGCATTAAAGATCCAAGATGGCAGCCAAATATTCTGCAAAGAAATATTAAGCACTATTTCACCAAAAATTTTAAATGTACTTCAACCTTGCAGTGAAAAGCTTGCTGAAATGCTGGGGGGAGGGGGGAGAGAGGGAGGTACCCTTAGGATGGACTAGCTCCCATCCAGGGGGGAGTAGTAATGCTCCTAGTCCTTTCAAGCCTAGGAAACCAGGATAAGCTCTGGCTTGGAGGACCACTTAGGCTCAAGTAGACAGATTTTGCCCTTTGGAGGCTCAACAGAGCTCAGGTCACACAGCATTTGGTTCAATACTTTTTTGTATAAGTAGTTTAATGACTCAACTGACAACAAGCTTTGCATTTGCCTTCTCACAGATAATCATGCAATGTTAATGATTTGCAATGCAATGTGATAGGGCCAAGGAACTGAGGAACAGAAAGCTAAGTGGCTGCCTCTTGCAGAATCAAATCAGATCATTGGAACTTATGCACAGACTGAACTTGGTCATGGTAAATAAATAATTTTCTATACTTCCCTGATATTCAAAATTTTGGTCAAAACAGATGGCACTTAAGGAAGCACGTGGCTTAATTTAGGAGGCCCCTTGTCACATATAATGATGCAAGTTTAGTTTTAGAGAATTGATTGATATAACAAATAGAGTGATGGAAAGAGAAGGGGAACTTTATTTGCTGTCTTTGCCCACCTGTAAGGGGAGAGGGGTTGTATAGTGAGTACTTAAGAGGAGGATTTTAGAGGAGGATTTGGAAATTTGATATATAACATTAAATTGTACTGATTTCACCTTGAAAAGTAAACACACACAAATTAAACATAAAAGTCTGTGCTGTATAATGAAATGAATGGTTTATGATTTTTTTCAAAATTCTGAAATGTTCTGAAAACTGTTTCTGACAAGATTGATATTTTCTTGTGATTTTTCACATCTTTCTCCAGGAACTTTTATTCGTGGCTTAGAGACTACAGCAACATATGATAAAAGCACACAAGAGTTTATTATTCACTCACCATCACTGACTGCATGCAAATGGTGGCCTGGAAATTGTAAGTCCTCTTACATCAGATGAATGTTTGTTATTTATTAATTATTAAATGCAATTGAAAGTTGAAACAGAATACAGACTTGTAGTTTAGTTCAGAAATGTGTGAGCTTGAGACTTTCATGTTGCATACATGTGCTGTACAGTATCTACTTCAGTGAGGTGTCCAAAAAAAAGTCACTTTTAGGACTCTGAATGCTTCTTCCAGTCTTATTAGCAAAGTGCTATTCACTAAAAAGCTCATTACAGGACTGGTGTTGCTTGGATGGTGAAATAAATTACCCCTTGTTATATCTTGATTTACAAGCAAAATTAAAGATAACTTTGCATTACTTGCCAAACTGGTTATGATCTTTAACTTTCAGTGGGAAAGTCTTCCAATTTTGCCATCATACCAGCAAGACTAATAGTGGATGAAAAGGATCATGGGATACAGATGTTTATTGTTCAGTTGCGTGATCTGGATACTCACCAACCTTTGCCTGGTATGTTTTATCTTAAACTTCATCTGCTCTGATGAAAGGTTAACGCTTGTCAAACTCTTTACTGTGGCCAGTTTACATTATCAACTCTGATATAAAACCAAATTGTCTAATTATCTCATGAAGCTTGTCTCAGCAAAACTGTTGAATACAGGACCACTTATTTGCCTATCACCGTATGACAATAGTGCCAGTGGAGTTATTTCTTGTCCCTCAAAGACTTCCCACAACGAGGAGGACAACAGTGTCCTTGTTACCTCCTTTTCTTATTTCTTAGGTATAACAGTAGGAGACATTGGAGCCAAATTCTCTCCTTTTACAAATGTAACAGACAATGGATTTCTGATGTTTGATCATGTCCGGATTCCTCTTAACCAGATGCTTATGGGGCTAGCGAAGGTATTGAGCAATTTTAAATTGTGTTAAAATTAGTTACATGCCTTGGGAATTGCATAGGTTTTTCTTTACTTTGCCTGGGACTTGCTGGTAATAAGCACTCAGATGGTACAAGTTTTGGTCACTGACATTTTATTGGGGACGCTGATCACATCCACATATCGGAGGTCCCCCCTTTCCCTCTGCGTACACCTTCTACGGCTTAGTTTACACTAACTTTGGTTTTACTTTACTTTGCTTGTGATTGGTCTAGCGTTTTCCCGCGCTTCAAGCAGTTTGCTTGGTTTACCTTTGAGTCCTCATTGGCTAGCGAAGATATCAATTTCTGTTCTGATCGATCGCTGTGATAACTTGGGTTTTGGTTTTTTAAGAAGAAACTCCGTTTTTCACTCTTTTCCATGCACAGCTTTCGCCTGATGGCACGTTCACAAAGTCAGGAAACTCCAAGCTTTTGTATGGCTCTATGAGTTATGTGCGGACAGTAATTGTTGTTGATTGTTTTTGGTTACTGTCCCAAGCAATCACCATTGCCTTGCGTTACAGTGCAGTGAGACGGCAAGGTCGACCCAAATCAGAGTAAGTTGTAAGAAATAGGCTGTGCTCGGTAAGCATTTATATGATAAAACAGACACCCTGGTCGAGAAAAATGCGCAGTGAGACTTCTCAAACAACAACAACGGCAAGGTTAAAGCAAGTTCCTCTGCTTTGGATGTCACAGTGCGCACGTTTGCTTTCCAGCGAGGTGTCTCTTGTGCCATGTTAGCCCTTCGCTTTGACGAAGGGCTAACGCTCGAAATGTCAGCTTTTGCAACTCCCAGTGGTGGCCAATTTACATTTATTTATCAACTCAGTTGATAAACCAACTTTCTTCTTTAATGAGGTGTTAACATAAAATATGGCTAAGAGTGGACTGAGAGTGGGAGTCCAAACGAGAATAGATTTCCTATTATGAAGATAGTTACTTTGAAGTTAGATCCTCATGTGAACATTTAGTTTTTCTGTTAATTAGCGAGCCTGAGGCCCAGCTTATCCACTACAAGACACAGCAATATAAACTGTTACCAGGTTTAGCTATGGCTTACGCTACAAAGTTTACGTTTGACCGTGTGTGGAAATTGTATGAAGAATCCCAAAGGAATTTTGCGGCAGGGGACTTCTCTATGTTACCAGAGGTATGAAAATTCTTGACTTAAAAATGTAATTTAACGTGTTGCCTAGTGTTTGACAACTGCAGCAAGTATATTTTTTATCATTTTTATCCCCTTTTTGGGGGAAACAGAAATAACTGTAGACTGTTTTGCACTTGATAGGTTGCTGAAATTTTTTAGTAAGCTTAGAGCCTGACAAAATTTTCTCTTGAGTGCAGAAAGATGGAGGCGGGGATTCAGAATTCTCTATTTCTTAGAAATTTAAAAACTGGCATCAACAGCTTAAATGAATTCGCACTGTTCCACTATTTAATTTTTTTTTTTTTTTTCATCTAATGCTCAATTTGTTTGTAGCTTCATGCAATCACTAGTGGTCTGAAAGCGTTCACGACATCAACAGCCATGCGTCATGCAGAGACGTGCCGACTGGCTTGTGGTGGACATGGCTACTTACTGTACAGTGGTCTTCCTGACTTTTATGCAGTGTTGAATGCTTCCTGTACTTACGAGGGAGATAATGATGTCCTTTACTTGCAAGTCGCTAGGTGAGCTGAAAACTGTGTGTCTCCCTATGTTATCAGTGAGCTTGCATTCAGCTATCGCCTGCAATACCTAAAGATTTCATTTTGATAAACGTGTCAATAGGTATCTGGTAAAAATCGCCTCACAAGTTCAAGAAGGAAAGACTCTTCCACCATCACTTAAATATATGTCACGAAAATGTGAACATTGTCCAGTTATAAACGGAGAGGGATTCTTAGAACCTGAAGTTCAAAGAACAATTTACCAGGAAAGGACTGCAAGGTGAGCTTGGTCCAGAACAAGGAACTTAGAAAAACGAAAGGGTTCTCAAGTAGTCTTAACTCTTTTCACGCCAACATCATTATGCATATTCTCCGTACCATTCTCTGTACATTTCCTGAGGTGCTGACAAGGAGAATTTGTTTAACAATCAAGAGCTTCTATAGTTGGTGATCATTTCTTTTATTCTCCTGACCTTAATGTTTGATTCAGGGGTGATATTGTAAGGAGAATTTATACGTTAATCACTCATACAGTGATCAAAGGGTTGGCATCGCTCTTTTAGCAACTATGTATAGGGAATGTGAGGTAAAGAAATAAAACCAAGCAAAATTAACAATAGTCAAATCATTTTTCAGATAAGGACTCACTGAATTTGTTTTGTCTAAGAGACTGTCATTGGAGCAGATACCTGAAGTAGTCTTGAGATTTTAGCAGCAGTTTGTTGCTCTCCATTTTCAATGGATTGGAGTTTCTTGGCTTTTTATCAACAATCTTTGAGCTTGCATCTACACTGGAGATATAAGTGTGCCTTTAACTTGAAAGTAAACTGCTCTGAGTGAAGAATAACTTTAATGTCTCATTTTTATTGGGAAATTTCTCTTGTCTTTGAATATAAGTGAAATGAGGACTGTAGCAGGAACACTTCAAAGGAGAATACTTTCTGGAATGGATCCTGCCGATGCGTGGAATGACTTGTCTGTAGACTTAGTGCGCTGTGCCAAGGTAAAAGTTTCAGGGTATCTTTGTCTTGAATAGTCTCCTTCGCAGCCTTTGTTTGGTCTCTTCACGCATCACCCTCTCCCCCTTGGTGGGGGATAGAGCGTACACTCCATATTAGGGCTCAATTGTTAAAGGGGTGGATAACGCTATCCAGCAGATAAAATCGTTATCCAATGGATGAATGTTCACAAATGTACTGCGCTATCCACTGGATAGAGATTTATCCAGTGGATAGCGTTATCCGTCCGTCGAACTACCGGGGACAGATTGAGAGGTCTGGGTTCAAGCCCAAGCCGGGTCACTGTGTTGTATTTATAAGCAAGAGACCTCACTTTCAAAATGGCTCCTTCCACCTCGGAAAATGTACGGGTACCAGAATTACTGGGAGGAGGAAGGCTGGTGCGAGGTGGGAGGGGTAAACTGTTCTGAGTCACCGTAGATTAAAGTGATTTATCTTTCGTTCTTTTTACAGGGCTACAGTAACAGTGTAATGGTTTCCTATGTGTTGGATTCGATGGAGAACCTCTCTGGAGTCAGCCCAAATTCACGCACGGTCCTGAAATCTCTATCAGACCTATTTGTTCTGTGGGGTATCACTGAAAACTCAGGTAGTTTTCTTGAGGTAAGGAGGGAAATACACAAGTAAGTCTATAGCAGTAATCACACTTCACAAGATGAAGAGTGAGATTTTTATCGAAGAAAATCAGGGGAGCATTATACTGTTACTTGCCCCAAAGTGTTGTTTTAAATCGTAAGCATTGAAAATGGGTCCTGAATGTTTATTTTGTCACGTCCAGTCAAAAGAGAGATCAGGAAATCATAGAAAACCGTTCAAACAAACTACATATGTATGCGCACTTATGTCAGTTTAACAGCCATTAGATAACTTTTAGTGTTTTGCGACTGCATGTTACTGAAAACTACATGTTGCTGAAAAATTTCAAATCCATGGTTTTGATACCAAGTGCACGTTTTCAGAGAAACCCAAACATCTTCTCCCATTTTGCTTTCAGGCTGGAATTCTGAACTGCAGCCAAATTCAAACCATTCGACATCAAGTTTATGCATTGATGGAACAGCTCAGGTTTGTCTTACAAATAATGCGTTATGTAATTTACTTTGAACATGTACCATACATTTATGCGATCTTATTCGAAATTTTATTTTCACTCTTTGACCCTTTTTCAGTACTTCGGTTTTCGCTTCAAGGAGTTTTTTCAGATCAAGAAGTGTAAAACTTTTTCTTTTCCCTTCGTCTCATTAATTTTCTTTCAAGATTGCATTGCGACTGGATACGTCCTTATTTTGTTTTCTTAACGTTTAGACCTGAAGCAGTCGCTCTAGTGGACGCGTTCGATCATTCAGATTACTTACTTAATTCACCACTGGGACGCTTCGATGGCAAAGTTTATGAAGACCTTTTCAGATGGGCTCAAAGATCAGAATTGAATGATCAGGAGGTAAATTGAGTTGTGGTTTGTAACGCATCAGTTTACTACGAGTGTTTATTAAGATCAACGGGTCATTTTTCTTGTCTTTAGTTGTAACGTTTGTACATCTGTATCTTGGTCTGTGACCAGAAAGTGATGACATTATGTTATGCTTGTCATTTGATTGGCTGATGGGAAAAGCGCCACGTGATCTCAGCTAGTGCGTTATTGGTTGTTTATCGTGTGACGTTATTGCCTTGTTCAAATTCAAAGTCACGTTCAGGTTCTCTCGGTCAACACAGATATTAGGAAAGTTTCCTGTCTCAATTAATGGTTTTTACCCTCTACGAAGCACATCAAACTTTGCGTCGTTTCCATCTTTTTTGACCGCTAGTTATAGTTGCGTTATTTTACCGTTTTTTTTATGTAGTAATCAGCTGTTTTTCCATTCTAGGTACAGCCAGGCTACTACAAGTACCTGCGGCCGATGATGCGTGACAACAAATCTAAACTGTAGCAATAGTTACACAAACTTGTTCGGACTTACCACAAGTCCTTGTGAAATTCAATCTTTGATAGCCCCTCTGAGCTGCCAGAGAGACCTTTTGGTCTGCTTTGTTTTCACGTGATTTGTGGGCGGCAATTCCGCCAAAAAGAATTCCGCCAAAAAGAATTCCGCCAAAAAGAATTCCGCCAAAAAGAGTCGCAAGGAAACATGGGAAATGGAGAGTACATGTACATGAAACGGTCTGTGGCCCACTCGCCTCTTGAAATTAAATTTGAAAATCAACCACTATTAGAACAGGAGCGGAATCTATACAACTAGAATAATCACGATTATGGGACGTGGAACAATGAAAGAATCTGAGTTGCCCGTGAAGAGTTAAACCTGAGTCTTACAAACTTAGTCACTGTATGCTCAACCAATGGGATACTGCCAAGGCCAAAAGGTCGATGGCATTAGTGCACTTGTAGAGAAGTTTGGCAACCAGTGCGATTGGCAACTTTTTTATCATGTCTTACACTCGTAGAAAATATCTTGATATATATATATATATATATATATATATATATATATATATATATATATATTTTTAAGTCCATAAACAAGTTTTAAATTTTCCATCTGTCTCGTTTGTAACATATCCAGCAATAGAAATAGGAAAACATTTTTCTATCTAGAATTAAAGAGCGTAGCATCACACAGCTATGAAGAACGGCGTGTTCCATGCACCGAAAGAGATAAAACCAACGACGACAAAAAAACAAAAACAAAAAAAAAAATGGGAGGTAACAAGCAAATAATATCATTTGAATCCACAGTGCTGTGGACACAGCCTTCTTGTATCGCGCATTGTTCAGTTGAGTTCCTTCTCCACTTGATTGGTTTTGGTGGCCTTGGTCTTGCACTTGTGGTTGAGAAAGGCGAAATACGCAAGAAAGTAGAGATTATCATGTATACAACAATGCGCAAGCGACGCGCTTGGCCGTGAAAGGTCTTGGTACGAGACTAAATCAAGGAATATAGAAAGATGAGGAGGCCATTTTTTTTTCCAATTTTCATTGTTTGTATTTTGATGGAGTCTAATGGAAAAAATACCTTTTTTTCATTTGGGCACTAGAATTGGCTTTCCCTGTCCGCCTTCACAAGAACCTCGTTGGGTTTCTTTAGAGTTAATATTTTGTTTCGTGTAGGGAAAAAAATGATAAGCAAAAAAATATCCCATAGAAAAAGAAAATGTTTATTTCCCGTGTATAATTGTTATTTCTACGTGAAAGAGAAACCCATATGCTGAGCAGGCAACAGAAAATAATCAGGCAGAGCCTCTACACTGTTTGATTCTTGAAAATAATCATATATATAATTTTTATTTTTTCGAATGTTATATATATATATATATATATATATATATATATATATATATATATATATATATTTTTTTTTTTTTTTTCGAATGTTCAACTTCTTGAAATAAAATGTTTACCCAACAACCTGCACATTTTAGGGATGACCGAGGGAGACTAGACCGAGAAATTATGGTCAGCTTAGCAGCGAAGTCACGTTACCCTAGTGCGAGTTGTGTAATGTTTACCTCATAAAACCATTGACCTCTGGTGGAATCTATTTGGTCTGTATCAAAATGAAGCCATCGTCTGGTAAAATAAATCCCGATTTAGCCCGTGAACGAGGAAAGGCATCCTTTGACACAAGGGAACTAACTTACTTGCTTTATGGAGGCCGAGAGAGAACAGAGCGTAAGAAATTCTTAGGTGAGAATATCGATTGGTGGTTATAGCTATGAGATTGGCATTTGTGTTAGATGGCATTTGGATAAATAATTTCTGATAATTGCTTCAATCAGGTAATTGGGGAGAACGTGGCAAACGCATCTGCATCGAGCGTGATCAGATGCGAAATGGAGTGTTCGTATGGAAATCGACACTCTAGCTCGAGAAATGTCACGCGAACCGAGACCCTTGCAAAGTGGACCTTAAACCTGACACACTTGAGTGACACATAACCTACTGTCTATGTGACGTTTAGACTATGAGCTCGAGATTTCTATCGCTTTACAACTGTGATGAGGGTGAAGCTCAAGGTGACCATCACACATAGGAATTTAGAGCGAATAGACGTATTGTTTTAGTATAATTATCCCTAAGGCTCATGGTTTTATTGTATTGTTGATATATGTGTTTTCAGTTGAATGTACTTTTTTATGGATGCATTTAATACTTATAATGGACTTGTCGCACTAAAATGGTAGTAGGAACTGCCAGAGGGACTTTCCTCCCCTGTCTGGTGATTCTGGGACATGTTTGAACCCTGATACAAGAAGACATCAACATAAGGGTGCAACCCATGATCCCATGTTGGGGTGGAGTCCTGGGGTGCCTGTGGACCCCCCCCCCCCAATTTTGTAAGCAAACAACTTATACAATATTCAGTATTCAGGTGACAAAAATTGATGAAAACCCTCTGTTTGACACATTGTGACCCCCCCTAACCAATTGTCCACCCTTCATGTTCAGTATTTATGATAAAACCTGTTTTAGCTTTTAATTAAAGGTTTTTGTCATCAAATACAATTTATTTTCCTTTTTATTCAATTGAAGAGTCATTGGTAGAGAAGGATCCTGTGCTTAGCAAAGAAGATTATTACATCCTTGACCGCAGACGTGCTTATGAGAGAGGTTTACAGAAAGGATTAAGAATCACCGAGCTAGTAAAAGAACATCAGATAAATGATCCTAATGATCAAAGCATTTTAGGAAGGTATAGATAGCGCATTTTAAACAAAGGAGAAAGTCTGACATGATCATTACTGGTTAATAAAAGGCATGAACGTTACTGATAAATACTGTGGGCCACAATCACTTGATTTCTGCCGCTAACTGATGAGTACAGTCATTGTTTATGCCTAAGTGTGGGGTACTTCTCAGTCAGCAGCAGACTTAATGAGCATGATTACAGGGGTAAACAGAAACTGTTAGTATCTTTTGGGCAAGCTAAGATTAAAGAACTCTCAGCTGACTATAATTACAACCTACTTGTTTTAAGCCGAGTCAATGCTTCAGTAACAGATGGGATAAAATTCAGCTACTCCTTATTGATAGGGTAGTCACCAATTTCAAAACTTTCTGACATGACTGTTTAAAAGGAATCTTGAAGAAGTACTTTGTTTCTAGTTAGATATGAATTCCATGAGCTGAAAAAGTGTGCAACTGTAATGCAAAATTAAAATCTGATAAATCATGATGAGATGTATACAAAATTACAGGCTATCAACTCTTTCCCTAGGAGCACACAAACCCAGCTGCCATACGCCTTGCATAAAGTGATGTTCATTCCTACCATAAAGGTACCTCAAATTGTTCATATTTGTTGAAAAAGCACAAACTTACTCCAAAAAAAAAATTTTGTAACACTCTTAAACGTCTCAATTTCAGAAATTTAATCAGAAGTAGATGGTAATGAAAAAGGCTGACAACTATGAAATGCAAATGTTTTATTATGTTGCAACAGAATGATGCAACCTTCTTTCTAACAGACTTTACATTTTATCTCAAATGTTTTTGTAGACCACACTTGTAACAATAGGTATAGGAGAGTAAACTAGGGACTGAAAGCTAGGGGGCTGGGGCTGCTTTTCCTTATTCTCTGTGTAACCTGCATCAAGCTTCTTTGGTTAATTGCTGAAAATTACTGTTACAAACAGACTGATTACATGTACATTCTCTACTGTGAATATATGAAAATCACTATGTGAACTGCAGATTAAGAAATGAATATGGAAGCAATCTTTGCAGTAATGAACACTACTTAAGCAGAAATGAAAATAAGGCCTGAAAAAATTCAGTCCTGTATGGGATTTGAACATTATTCATCACTTCACAGGTTTATTACGAAGCAAAAAAATGACCAGCTCCCAGCTGGCTTGTTATGTTGGTACCTCAGTTGGAAGAGCACTACACTGGTATCACATAGGTCATGTGGGTTCAAATCCTATACAGGCCTGAATTTTTTCAGGCATTATTTCCACTTCTGCTTAACCAGTGTTCATTACTGCAAAGAAGGCTTTTATGTTAATGTAGTTTCTTTCTTCTGTCAATTAAGGGACAAGGAAGTGAAGAACAAAAAGCAAAATGGCTGCCTCTTGCAGAGTCCTTTCAGATAATAGGAACATATGCCCAGACTGAAATTGGCCATGGTGAGTATGAAGGTCTATGAACAAATTCTCCTTGTCAGCATCTTATGAAATGTATAGAGAACAGTATGGAGAATATGCAAATTCTCCTTGTCAGCATCTTATGAAATGTATAGAGAACAGTATGGAGAATATGCATACTGATGTTAGGGTGGAAAAGGTTAAGTATTTGACATCTAGTAATTTGATGAATTATCTTGTTTATAAATTTTATTTTCAGGAACTTTTGTGCGTGGCCTGGAGACAACAGCAACATACGATAAGACCACACAGGAGTTTATTATTCACTCGCCGACTCATTCAGCGTGTAAATGGTGGCCTGGAAATCGTATGTTCGAAATTATATTATATATGGATGCATTTTAAAGATTTGGTTAGAAAAGATACTTAAGTACCAGATGATGAGGAGGAGTTGTGGGCGAGAAGGGATTGGGACAAGAGAGGGTGTTTCTCTACCTAGACGGCTGTTTTCGTTCAATCGCCAAATCTTGAATGACCTTATGTAAAAAAAAAATAAATAATAAAAAAAAAAAAAAAAAAAGGGAATTTGCCCCTGTAGATTCATCATTGTGGTTAAATTTATTGCTTGAACTCTTTAGTAATCTGTACTTAACGCTATACTACTTCCATTCTGAAGTATTGATTTAAATGTCAGTTTTTTGTTTGCTTTTTTTTCGTCATGGTTGAATAACCCGCGTGAAAAAAGCAGAGTAATTTACTTTTGCAGATTTATGGGTGCGAATAAATTTATCGCCTAAACTCTGTCCTTTCTTAATGTTATGCTACAGTGCTTCCATTTTAAAATGTTGATTTAAAATGTTTTTTAGTGGGAAAAACTTCTAATTTTGCGACCGTGCCCGCAAGGCTGATTGTTGATGGAACTGATCGTGGAATTCAGATGTTTCTAGTTCAGTTACGAGATCTGGAGACTCATCAACCTTTGCCAGGTAAGGGATCTCTCTCTGTTGCTGTTGGAAAGCAAAAGAAAAAAAAAATGGAAAATGCAGACACTCACGTCCACTCCACAGGCCCCCCAAATTCATGACGAAACGAACCTGAAGAGGACTTTTCCTTTTCAACAGTGTTGTAGCATAGAGACACACGTATTAGATGTAAACGCAAGCGCAAACGCAAGAAGACGAGAATGGGTATAGTTCTTTTTTCATTTCTTGCTTACACGACTGTGCCTGCGTTTGTGTGTACGTCCGCGCAGCAAATACGTGCATTTCCTTCAAGTTGCATTTGTATTTGAGCTGTATTTGCTTCGTAATGTTAACATGTTCCAACCAACAGCGTAGCTCCATTTTTACGCAGATAAAACACCCACAATTCACAATTTTATCTATTCGCTCAGACGAAGGGCTAATGCTCGGAACTTCAGCTTTAGAAACTGTTTACCATGGTCAATTCACTTAATCACCTCAGTTGATAAAGCCTATTACTCCCCCCCCCCCCCACTACAATCTGTTCGGCGCAACGTGATTCATCAGGTAACAGCCTTTTATTCTCCAAAAATATCCAGGTATCACAATAGGAGACATTGGAGCCAAGTTTTCTATGATGTACAACGGGAGTGACAATGGATATCTAATGTTTGACCATGTCCGTATTCCACTAGACCAGATGCTAATGGGTCTTTCAAAGGTAGTATGAAATGGGTTGTTGTGCTCGTATATATGACTTGGCGTTAATGCTGGCTCTTATGGTACAATGATAAGTGGTTAAACACTGAAAGGGGTGGAAACCTCATTGTGGTTGGATAAGTTTTTCTAATTAAAGACAGGTAATGTTCAGAATGCTCAAAATCAAACTTTCTCTCATCACAGTTTAACGTATTTTTTACTCGTGCTTAACGGTGGAATAACATAACAAGTATCGCGAGTCGCTACTCGTGCGTTGTCAACCTTCCCAAACTGGTCTGATACCAATCGAAAAACGAAATAAACCATATGAATTAATGACGGAAAAACTCAAAATCCTTAAATGGTTTATCGCAATAAAACGCGACCTGAAATTCCTTGCTATGATAACATTCTGTCTTCACTCCGAGAAAAGCGTACATAACTTTCTATCAATCGCCCAGCCTGGCACTTTTTTTTTTCAGTTATTGTGTCTTTCCCCCTACACCTATTTAGATTTGATTTTGATAGGCTTCACAGTAAATATATTGATTTTACTATCAATAACCAACAGTTGTCCCCTGACGGAACCTTCACAAAACCAGCCAACTCCAAACTGTTGTACGGTACCATGAGTTTGACGCGGGCAGGCATTGTTGGCGACTCCTTCTGGCAGTTATCAAAAGCGATCACTATCGCCATTCGTTACAGTGCTGTGCGTCGCCAGGGTCAGCTGAAACAAGGGTATGGGACAAGTTTATTGGTTTTAGAAACCATATGCATTCCTGTCATCAACCTGTCGACACCCAAGAGTGACTAGCATGATATTTTCTCGTTTCATTACTACCCCTGGATTAAACGTTGAGGTGACTCCTCAGAAAAAAAGTTATCGAACAATTTTTTTTAACTTTCCTTAAATATACCCTACCAATGTCTGTTTCGAAAAATATAATAAAAAGGATAGGTCACTGTGCTTGTTTAGGAGATATAATGGACTAGACTCACCCCATTTATGTCTGTATTGGCACTATTCACGCGCATCATGTCATCAGTTCACGGTACATTTGCTGCAGCAGGAAGCAAGTGTTTTTAAGGTAACACTTGGAAAAAACTTGATTTTTAGTAGAAAGAAAGCCTCGAGCGTTTGAAATCGCGTAAATTCAAACGATATCGACTCAAACCGTTCCTCGAGTCGTTCCTTTCATGGTCGTTATTCGCATCCTCGAGTAACGGGCTTCGTGCACGCTTTTAGTTTATCTTTTTTCCCTTCGAATAATTTTTTTAATTCCCTCAACTCAAAGGGGACAAATTGACTCTTAGATGCGCTTACTTGGCTGTTAATGAGGACTCAGTTTGTTTTTTGTTTGTTAGTTTTTTTGTTTTGATTTGTGTTAACATGATGTTTTAAATTGTTTGTTGGTTTGTGTGCGTCAGGTTTTTGTTTGTTTGTTTGTTTGTCTTTCGTTTGTCATTATACGCGTTACGAGAAGGTTTGGTTGAATTAACCGTTGGTGAAACACTCGGAAACGTATATTTAGTGATTTACCCACAAGTTGTCTTTGATCTTACAACAGGGAACCCGAGACCCAGATTATCGATTACAAGACACAACAGTACAAACTGTTACCCGGGCTGGCCATGGCCTATGCCTCAAAGTTTGCGTTTGATCATGTGTGGAGATCGTTTCAGGAACGTCAAAAGAAAATTGCAGCTGGTGACTTGTCCATATTACCAGAGGTAAAGTAAAACCTTTTCGTGTTCCCAGTCTGGGAACATTGGCCAAAATAGTTTATTTCGTACATACTGAGATTTACACTGTGAAGTGCTATCCTTCGTGTTTGATTGGACGAACGATGTTTTTTCACAGTCGTTCGCTTCGTACTGCTCAGTATAAATCTTAGAATGTGTGAAATAAAAACATCACCATGGGAAGTGCGCACGAACGATTTTTATTCACTCGTTATAATGCATCAAAAAGCTCCCTCGTCGCTGCACTTGCTCGTTCGTTTTTTTGATGCATCGGCACTCGTGAATAAAAATCGTTCGTGCGCAATTTCCATGGAACAGTCTCTATTTATCTCATGGATGGTATTTTGTGCCTTTGTCATTTGTATCCGCCGCTCACACAGTCCTCAACGACTGCTCCATTTGCGTTCGTTGAATATGAGATCATAAAAAGTCGATGAGAGGCGTAGCTCTAAAGTTGGTTAGAACTGTCTTACGACAAGTGCGGATGGAATTATAGTCGCTGTACTAAAAATCACTCAAATAATTACCTTAAAATATGCGACACCTGAGTGATTTCGAAAAAAGGTGCGATGTTTATGCCGTGAAAATGGTCTATGGTATATGAGTTGAGATACTATGGGTTGTTAACCAGTCAAAATACAATGTAATATACTATAACCAGCCCTTTTAAATAGAGGATGTCGTGTGGCAGCCATTGTAATACGAATTTTATCGACACGTAGATTTTTCTATTTTTTTTTTTTGCAACAAACTTTGCCTGAGTTTTCCTCAAGTTTATTCTTTTTTTTCTATTTCTTATTTGTAGAGCCATGCTATCACCAGTGGTCTCAAGGCGTTTTCGACTTCAACGGCCATGCATCATGCAGAGACGTGCCGACTGGCGTGTGGTGGACATGGCTACTTACTGTACAGCGGTCTTCCTGAATTGTATACATTGTTGAATGCTGCCTGTACTTACGAAGGAGATAATGATGTTCTTTTCCTGCAAGTAGCAAGGTAAGCTTGTATACATTATTGTACTACCTAAATGGATATAGGTGACGTCGCCCCCACTGCACGGGTTCCCCAAGTGAAGTTCCGTCGCCCCGAAGTATGATTGCGTCGCCCTGAAGTTTTTGTGCGTCACCCCCAACTTAAAGTTGCGTCGCCCCCGACTTTTAACCTAAATGTAATTGAGGTTTTAAATGTACTTTTGTAGAAGGTTAAAAAGCTTTTAAGTTAGACGGCCCTACTATCAAAAACGATCGCAATGTTTCGACTGCTTAGTGACCTGGTAGAAACATCCCTCGCCCAATGGTGATGGGTTTCTGAAGTCACTTCTTACTTTGACTTTTGGCGTTTTTTTTTCCTTTGAAAGGAAAAATTCATGTAATTTCACGTTCATTTCTGCGCTTGGGATCGTGTTCTCCCTGATCATTCGTGTATTCAGCTTCTGGCATTAGTTGAAATTCTTCTCGCGCTGCACAACTGATTACATTTGCAGGGATTATATTTCGTTACAGGTTTCTGGTAAAAATCGCCTCTCAAGCTCAAGAGGGAAAAGCTCTTCCTGTTTCACTGAGGTATTTGTCACGAAGAAATGAACAGTGTCCGGTAATCAATGGAGAAGGATTTTTGGAGCCAGGTGTACAAAGAACAATTTACCAGGACAGGACTGGCAGGTGAGAGAATTTAACCGTTCCCACCGCCACCCCAAAAAAATGATTTGGGAAGCCCGTAAGTAGGCTAACCTACTCTTGCGTGCCGTTATGTGGCGATCCCGCTAGATACGTCAAGCGTCCTGCTTTTTCAAGCTTGAGGCGGTGTCAGGTGTCCGTCCGTTCAGTGGCCTTGTAGCTTGCATCAGTTTTAAGCATATCCATGTAGAAAAAGAAATAGGCTGTCACTAATTAGTTTAACGTTCCCTTGCGTTCCTTCAGCGAGGTGAGGGCTGTTGCAGAAAAGCTTCAAAGAAAAATTTCCTCTGGAACGGACTCCTCTGATGCTTGGAACGAGCTGTCTGTAGACTTACTACGCTGTGCTAAGGTGAGCCAAAGAGCGAGGTGACCATAACACAAGCTGTGTTGCAGAGAAATGTTCAGTTGATTGATTTTCAAAAGTAATCTGGAATTTAACTAATCTTACTCTTAAAACTGCGCGCTAGCCTACAGTGCAGGCGTCTTCTTAGGGCGAGTTAACGTGATGAAGCTCGCGATTGTTCATTCAACCGGCCATGTCTGATTTGGAGTTACGTCGCTCACCTTCTTGGTACAAATCTCTATCTCCCCCCAGTCTTCCGCTGCCATTAAGATCAAATATGGCGACCTTAATTTTCATTAAGAAAATACTGCGCACTCGTTGGCCAAAATTACGCCTGCTATGCAGGCTAACTGCTTACCAGCAACCCAACTAATAAGCAGGAAACTGGGCGCAATCTTGCCTCGCGCACCCACGTTTTTCTTTTTCTCACTGACTCTTCTCAGTGTTTCCCCCTTTTTGATTGGCTGTTGCAATTGATTACGTTGTCATCTTTGTAGTTGGGTTGGGCGTTGCGTTTTCCCGCGCATATACACGCTCCCGTGTCAACACTTTGAGCTCTCATTGGCTCTCCTCAATATTTTCTTTCTTCGGATTTGCAGTAAAGATTACGCGATCTTTTGCTTCAGCCTTTTAATGGAGTGTGTGCAGCCTTTGATTTGCGCGGACGTCTGCAAGTAATATGTGCCTCCAATAAAGATATCTCACTTAGATATAAATTATTAGTTTATTTTTTCTCTTTGTTTCAGGGTTATAGTCATTGTGTTATGGTTTCGTATTTATTGGATTCGATGGAGAACCTGTCTGATGTTAGTTCAAGTTTACGCAGGGTGCTGAAATGTGTGGCAGATTTGTTTGTTCTTTGGGGTATCGCTGAAGACTCAGGAAGTTTTCTGGAGGTAACAAACGATTTTTAAGATTAAAAACTTCATAAGTAAGAGCGATAATGTTCTGAAGCTGGTAATAGAAATGATTTTAGCTCAGATGAAACGCCTAACTACCTCGACCTTCATGCCGAGTGATAAACAAACAAGAACAAACAAGCGAACAACAAAAGTTATGATGTATCCAGCTTTAAGTAGTGTAGAAGAGAAACCTGCATGAAAAATGAAAATGAAAGATAGGAAGCCATTTTTAATATCAGTTGTATGAAGTATCTGTTGCCTTCTTTTTTTTCTTCATTTCCTGTTAGGCTGGAGTTCTTAACTGCGCTCAAACTCAAACTATACGACAACAAGTTTATGATTTGATGGACAAGCTCAGGTGAGTTGACTAAGAATAAAGATCCCTAATTCTTAAAAGGGTAATTTAGTGTTAACAACTGCGGAGTTGATAACGTAAATTGGCCACCGTAAAGAGTTTGAAAGCTGACGTTACGAGCATTAGCGCTGTCGTCTTTCGCTCTGACGAAGGGCTCGAAAGTTCTGATATTCAAGGTTCTGATATTTAGCAGTTCTGGAAAGCCGGTTTTTTTTATTTTTCTCAACTTTTCGAATTGTTTGATGTCAAGATCGAGTTTTTGATAGTAATGAAATTTAAATATTAGAACCTTTAAGAAACGGAATATAATAAACTTGTCCTTTAGCGGTTCTATTCGCGAAATTTAGAAGTTTAGATATGGCGTAAGGCCTGCATTTTCGAAAGTAGGGCCTGGGCCTTATATTCGACATTTTTGAACGCGAGTTAAGAAAATTGGGTCGAGTACACAAGGCCGAGGTCAGGACGGAATGGTCCTAGGAGAACTAAGGCCTTGATAATTATCTCAGTCATCGTTGTGAAACCGAATCCAAATCTATTTTAGCCCGCGCGCCCGCTTGCTTGGTTGTTCAGACTGTTTTGTCATTTTTTTTTGGTTTCAGGTTTTTTTTCTTAATGCCCCCCAAAGTAATAATGGTAATATAGTTTATGTTCATAGGCATTATTTTGTTTTGGGCTGTTCTAAGAGTCAGTTCAACCCTCTCCTAGCGGCGCGGGCTAAAAATAACTGTGAGTCGGGGTTAAAATATCTTTATGCCTAAGAACATAAGCGCTGTTGTCTTATGATATCGTGAACTGGTTTGAAAAACAGCAACTTGCTTGAGTTAACCCGATTTTCTTGTTTCTGTATTTCCCATCGTAAAGACCTGAAGCAGTGGCTCTGGTTGACGCCTTTGATCATTCAGATTACGTACTTAACTCTCCATTGGGACGTTTCGATGGCAACGTATATGAGGACCTTTTCAGATGGGCGCAAAGATCGGAGTTAAATGATGAACAGGTACAGTTTATTAATTTTTGATGGATAAAGAAATGTGCAATCGAGTTTCGATACTAATCTGGGATCGCTATGCATTTGCTTTACTTTGCTTTGTGAGTGGTGCCGAAAACTCGGGTAATCCTCTCAGCCAATCAGATTCAACACTAAATGCAACCGCGTCCTGCTCACTCGTGTTTTCCCGCGCTTCAATAAATTTGCCTTAAAAAAAACTAATAAATTTGCTTTCTTTTTGGTTAATTGTGAAATTTTCTTATCCTCTGATTGGTTATCGTGATCACTTTGGTTTTTTTTTTTAAACATTCATTCATAGAGTGCTCTATCATGCGGAAATATCGGTAAGAGGTATAAAAAATTTAAGGCATTACGACAAAACCGGCTCAAAGCAAGAGTTACCAAGGTTTTTGTATTGTATCTGGGCTTGGGTTTTCCAAATCCTATGAACACCACTATAGGGTTGCCTGTGGGTCATAAAACCATTCGTTACCGTGCCAACTAAACCTGTTTTATGATGTTTTTGTTTATTGAAGGACTTTGTTTTCATTTCAGGTGCAACCAGGCTACTACAAATACCTGCGGCCACTAATGCAAAACAACAAATCTAAACTATAATAATATTTTAATTACGATATAGATCAACTTGAACGTGTCATTTTGGCGTGCTTAATTCGGTCTGTAATCATACGTTGAGTGATTAACAACATCAGTCGACCAAATAGCGGGAGCCCGATTTGTTTTTTAGAAGTCTTGAGATTCTCTTCCTCGAAGTCAATAACAATCTGGAGAAGTAACCCCTAACAAAATCGTTCGCGTACTTCACTTTTAAAAGGCATTTGAAGCTGTAGGTTTGATCGTGTCGTCCAATCGTCGGGGTGAGGGTACTCCTGAGAAGGGGGTAAGTTTATAAAGAACCTGTTGAGCTGCATCGGTGGGAGAGTATAACAGGATAATTCGCGACTTCGCTCCGACGAAGGGTTAACGCTCGAAACGTCAGCTTTAAAACTCTCTACGGTGGCCAATTTACGTTGTCAACTCAGTTGACAAAATAATACCAAAATTGTCTTGAGAAAGACTGCTGTCGGTAATAGTGACTGATATTTCAACAACCTGAGTAGAAGTCATCATCAGGAACAATTGAATAGTTGTTGTTAGTGTAATAAGTCCAGTTCATGTGAACTACTGGTTAGTTCAGCCGTGATGGTAATGGCTCAGTTGGTGTAATTCTGTTGTGATTGGTCAGTTTCAATCCTTGGGTAATGATAGATCGTTCTGTTGGGTTTGTTTGTGGTGTATCGTAAACGTGCAGATTATTGTTCATCTTGAAAAGTAAAATGCTTAAAATATAATTTGGTTCTATTTTTGCATAGTATTCCTGTCAAACATTGTTACTGACGAAGGATTCAGTAACCAAAGAACGACAGCAATTAATAAAAGCAAGATTTTACAGATGGACTTCTTCAGGTTTCGTAGTTGATGAAAGTGGAATATACAAAGCAAAACTACGCACCCATATACGTGAAAAAATAGCCTTTTTGACACATTTTATTATAATATGATTTCACGCATTCATGTTAAGGTGACAACGTTATTGATGTGGGGCCTCCCCCTCAAAACTAAACAAATGAATAATCATTCAAGTTACAACTTAAGCTTATTATAAGTACTACTATTGTAGTTAAAATAGTAAAACACAGGGTGCCATTAAGGATTAAATGTTGCTTTCAGCACTTTAAACAATTTAAACGATACAGTATCACATCTATATCATCATTTCCTGATAAAAAGCAAGGCAAATCCGGCACATTATTGCTTCCTATATCTTAACGAACATCAAAGCTGAAATATACCTTACGAATTAACAAAGAGATTTCATGCTGCCATATCTCTGTTTAGTAAGAGATAATAGATGATGTCATAATGTAGTAAGATCCAAAAAGTGGCAAACGAGGCACAGCCACATTGTGACGTCATCTGTCTACCCGTATTTGCTATATATAATGAAAAAGCAAAAAATTGCTAATGGTCACATCATCTATGTCTGTCCTCTAAAAGATTATAAGAATGAGCCAATCAAAATAAATGCTGCAGTAATTCAGCTTATTATGTAAACATACCGGTTCTGGAGACACAGCTTTACCTCAATTGGGAAAGAGACGGGGGTGGGTGGGTGGGTGGGGGACAGAATCTCTTGCTTTTTACCGGGCTTCAATATCTGTGACTTCTCTTATCCTTTGTCCTCTCCAACCACTCCTCTCCCATGGTTCTGGCGCGAGCCGGGTGAAACGGCCCCCGGTGCAGATCTTGGTGGTAATAGCTAGCAAATATTCAAATGAGAACTTTGAAGACCGAAGTGGAGAAAGATTCTAAGATATAAACAGCAGTGGACATGGGTTAGTCGATCCTAAGAGATAGGGTAATTCCGTGTCAAAGCGCCGGATGCTCAGGCCGCCTATCGAAAGGGAATCGGGTTAACATTCCTGAACCGAAACGCGGTTATTGCCACTCGTTGGTAGGCGCGGCAACGCAACCGAACCCGGAGACGCCGGTGGGGGCCCCGGAAAGAGTTCTCTTTTCTTTTTAACAGACTTTCACCCTGAAACCTCGCGTCGGAGCCGATCTGCGTCCGAGACAGAGTAAGGTTGGGAGTTCGGCTGGGGCGGCACATCTGTCAAATGATAACACAGGTGTCCTAAGGCGAGCTCAGCGAGAACAGAAATCTCGCGTAGAACAAAAGGGTGAAAGCTCGCTTGATTTTGATTTTCAGTAGGAATACAAACCGCGAAAGAGTGACCTATCGATCCTTTAGTCTTAGTTAGTCTAAGTTAGAGGTGTCAGAAAAGTTACCACAGGGATAACTGGCTTGTGGCAGCCAAGCTTTCATAGCGACATTGCGTTTTGATCCTTCGATGTCGGCTCTTCCTATCATTGCGAGGCAGATTTCGCCAAGTGATGGATTGTTCACCCACCAATAGGGAGTGGGAGCTGGGTTTAGACCGTCGTATACATACATATATATATATATATGTATATACATATAAATATATATATATATATATATATATATATATATATATATATACATATATATATATATATATATATATATATATATATATGTATGTATGTATGTATTTTCGAATGTTCAACTTCTTGAAAGAAAGAGAGAAGCAACAGCAACAACCTGCACATTTTAAGGATGACCGAGGGAGACTAGACCGAAAATTATGGTCAGCCACTTAGCAGCGAAGTCACGTCATCCCTGGTATGAGTTGCGTAATGTTTACCTCATAAAACCATTGATCTCTGGTGGAATCTATTTGGTCTGTATCAAAATGAAGCCATCGTCAGGTAAAATAAATCCCGATTTAGCCCGTGAACGAGGAAAGGCATCCTTTGACACAAGGGAACTAACTTACTTGCTTTATGGAGGCCGAGAGAGAACAGAGCGTAAGAAATTCTTAGGTGAGAATATCGATTGGTGGTTATAGCTATGAGGTTGGCATTAGCGTTAGATGGCATTTGGATAAATAATTTCTGATAATTGCTTTAATCAGGTAATTGGGGAGAACGTGGCAAACGCATCAGCATCGAACGCGATCAAATGCGAAATGGAGTGTTCGCATTGAAATCGACACTCCAATTCGAGAAATGTCACGCGAACCGAGACCCTTGCAAAGTCGACCTTAGACCTGACACACTTGAGTGACACATAGCCTGCTTTCTATGTGATATTTAGACTATGAGCTCGAGATTTCTATCGCTTGACAACTGTGATGAGGGTGAAGCCCAAATTGACCATCACGCATAGAAATCTAGAGCAAGTAGTCCTATTGTTTTTGTGTAAAACCTCAAGATCATGGTTTTTATTTTTTATATATATATATTTTTTTTTCAAGTGCACACTTTTTGCTACTCTGTTTACTCTGCTTACCTGTCACAGAATAGATAGTGAGTACTTCAGCCAATCAGATTACAGCCCTTGTGATGGAACAGTGGTAGACTAAGCTTGTCAAATTACTCTGCTTGTACATTCAACTTTTTCTGTTTTTTTTTCGGGTGAAGGCTCAAATTTTTCTGCTATGTAATTGGCCTTTGGATATTAACTGGTTTGAGGTTAAAGTTGTGAATCAGCAGTCGTGGCTTAAGGGTTTTCAGCAGGTATAGATACAGTTACATGTATGAGAGGATGCATTGCCAAGCAATTACTGTGCTATCTGACTCTGGATTATAAGGTCTGGGTTTAGGGTGGAGAGGGTCATTTTGTCATGTTCATGGGCTAGACATGTAACTGTTTTAGAGTCTCTCTCTACCCAGTGGTACATATAAGGACCACGTGTCTGACAGGAGAAAGGTAAAGGCAGGGTGATTGAAGGGAGGAGATGGGGGGAGGTTAGGATAAACTGTGCTGCAGTACTACATAGCTACTTTGAGGGAGTAGCACTGTAGTATTGTACCTTATTCAACTTGTAAACTGAAAGTGAGATTAGATTTGGCAAGATATATGTGTTGACTTTTCAGTTGAATTTACCTTTTCATGGATGCATTTAATACTTATAGTGGACTTATCGCATTAAAATGGTAGTAGGAACTGCCAGAGGGACTTTCCTCCCCTGTTTAATGACCCTGGGACATGTTTGAACCCTGATACAAGAAGACATCAACATAGGGGGGCAACCCATGCTGGGGTGGGGTCCTGGGGTGCCTGTTAAACCCCCCTCCCCCACACACGTTTGTAAGCAAACAACCTACAATATTCAGGTGACAAAAACTGGTGAAAACCCTCTATTTGACACATTGTGACCCCCTTCCTATGAAAAATCCTGTCAATGCCCCTGATGTAACCAATTGTCTGCCCTGCATGTTCAATATTTATGATAAAATCTGTTTTTAGTTAGCTTTTAATTAAAGGTTTTTGTTATCAAATATAATTTCTTTTCCCTTTTATTCAATTGAAGAGTCATTGGTAGAGAAGGATCCTGTGTTTAGCAAAGAAGATGATTACATCCTGGATCGCAGACGTGCTTATGAGAGAGGTTTACAGAAAGGATTAAGAATTGTAGAGCTAGTGAAAGAACATCAGATAACTGATCCTAACGAACAAAGCATTTTAGGAAGGTATAGATAGTGCATTTTAAACAAAGGAGAAAGTATGACATGACCATTACTGGTTTATAAAAAGCATGAACACTACTGATAAATGCTGTGGGCCACAATCACTTGATTTCTGCCGCTAACTGATGAGTACAGTCATTGTTTATGCCTAAGTGTGGGGTCCTTCTCAGTCAGAAACAGACTTAATGAGCATAATTGCAGGGGTAAACAGCAATTGTAAGTATCTTTTGGGCAAGCTAAGATTAAAGAACTCTCAGCTGACTATGATTACAACCTACTTGTTTTTAGCCAAGTCAATGCTTCAGTAACAGATGGGATAAAATTCAGCTACTCCTTATTAATAGGGTAGTCACCAATTTTAAAACTTTCTGATAAGATATCAATTCCACATGCACATGTAACTGAAAACTTGTGCAATTGTAATACAAAATATAAATCTGGTAAATCATGATGGGATATATATACAAAATTACAGGATATCAACTCTTTCTCTAGGAGCACACAAACCCACCTGCCACACACCTTGCATAAAGGGATGTTCATTCCTACCATAAAGGTACTTCAAATTGTTCATATTTGTTGAAAAAAGCACAAACTGACTCCAAAAAAAAATTGATACCCTTCTGAATTAGTTCATAATTCTGAAACACTCTTAAACATCTCAATTTCAGAAATTTATTTTAGTCAGAAGTAGATAATAATAAAAAAGGCTGACAGCTATGAAACGCAAATGTTTCATTATGTTGCAAATGGAATGACACAACGTTCTTTCTGATAGACCTTATAATTTATCTCAAATATTTTTGTAGAGCATACCTGTAATAAGAGGTACAGGAGAGGAAGCTAAGGACTGAAAGCTAGGGGGTTGGGGCAGCATGTCCTCATTCTCTGTGGAACCTGCCTCATGCTTCTTTTGTTAGTTGCTGAAAATTACAGTTATGAACAGACTGATTATATGTACATTCTTTACTGTGAATATATGAAAATCATTATGTGAACTGCAGATTAAGAAATGAATATGAAAGCAATCTTTGCAGTAGTGAATGCTACTTAACTGAGCAGAAATGAAGATAAGGCCTGAAAAAATTCAGTCCTGTACAAGATTTGAACATTATTCATCACTTCACGGGTTTATTGCGAAGCAAAAATATGACCAGCTCCCAGTTGGCTTGTTATGTTGTTACTTCAGTTGGAAGAGTACTACACTGGTATCACATAGGTGATGGGTTCAAATCCTATACCTGAATTTTTTCAGGCATTATTTCCACTTCTGCTTAAGCAGTGTTCATTACTGCAAGAAGGCTTTTATATAAATGTACTTTCTTTCTTCTGTCAATTAAGGGACAAGGAAGTGAAGAACAAAAAGCAAAATGGCTGCCTCTTGCAGAGTCCTTTCAGATAATAGGAACATATGCCCAGACTGAAATTGGCCATGGTGAGTATGAAGGTCTATGAACAAATTCTCCTTGTCAGCATCTTATGAAATGTATAGAGAACAGTATGGAGAATATGCATTCTGATGTTAGGGTGGAAAAGGTTAGGTATTTGGCATTTAGTAATTTGATGAATTATCTTGTGTATAAATTATATTTTCAGGAACTTTTGTGCGTGGCCTGGAGACAACAGCAACATATGATAAGACCACACAGGAGTTTATTATTCACTCGCCAACTCATTCAGCGTGTAAATGGTGGCCTGGAAATCGTATGTTCGAAATTATGTTATATATGGATGCATTTTAAAGATTTGGTTAGAAAAGATACTTAAGTACCAGGTGATGAGGAGGAGTTGTGGGCGAAAAGGGATTGGGACAAGAGAGGGTGTTTCTCTACCTAGACGGCTGTTTTCGTTCAATCGCTAAATCTTGAATGACCTTATGTAAAAAAAAAA